CACAATAAATAATGTTCATCGAACCTAATACCTAAATTATGACTCAACATTAAACTTCCATTTCTTGCTATTCAAATCACGATTGAGGTGAAACTTGGGCACTTGGGCCCGGAACGTCACGGAAAATATGGATTTCCGGGTAATTCATAAATTATCGACGAATATTTGAAATTTCCTTTTTTAATTTTTGTTCGAAGATTTATAGACAAAAAGATACAAAAAGCTGGCCTTTGTTACGTACAATGGGACGAGAATTTCAAATCCTGTTAGATTTATTCAGCTACGACCAATAGTTCCGGAATAATAGCTTAATGTTCGATCTGGGAGGAACAAACGAGCCGAATTCATAAGGGGTTTTTTAAGAAAAGATAAGGATGTAGGTCAGGAAGTTGCTTTTAAATTAAATTCATCTTTCAAAAATAGTGGAAAACATTTTGACTTGCAACAGTTTTACACAGAAAAAAAATTGAGAATGTGTTGTGTTTTTGTTGATTATAGCCGGCGGAATGTAATAGAAAAATATCCGTTATTATCCCCGAAGTTTCTTTCACAAAATAGATAAAATAAATTTCTCCGTAGGTGAAACGAAAACTTGAAACTCTGATCGATCGAGACTAATGGCTTCAGCTTAATTTTCGAAAGTTTGAAAAAGAAATGGCATAGCAACTCCACTCGGCAAAAATATGTCTTCAAAAATTAATTAAAATTGTCACTACGCTAAGTTTAATTAATTTTATGTAAAAAATAATTGTTAGAAGTTTATATTGCAAATAGGGTTCATTTGCCTTCTTGTCCCTAAAACCTTTCTCTGCATACAATATTTAATGATCAAATATCTTGTTTGGCTACAGCTAGCTTTAATCCAAGCAAATCTCAATAATAATACAGCCATAACTGTTTTTTCGAATACTAAACAGCTTCCATCGAGGAGCATTATTTGATTATTTAATGATCTCCATCTGTATACTTACATTTACTGTTTGACCGCTTTACACTCGTCGAAATAAACGAAGGAGTGCCAACAATAAAATGCCCAACTTCATAAAACAAACACTAAAGTTGTTACAAATAAACTAAATATTTGATGACCTCTGTTGTATCCAAAAATGTTTATTGATTAAAAGTCACTAATTTGGTCAAATTTCGTATTCCTTTCACTTCATTAAAAAAACATATTTTTTGGACATGACACTGGGCAATCTTTCATAAATAATAGTTTGACAAGTTAAACGATGAACGAGGAACCGCAATCGTTGTAATGACCCTATTTCGTGACAGATAAAGACATAAAAATAAACACATGTCTGCTTCAAAAACTCATTAAAAATTTATATAAAATTAAACTCGACTTGCAATTTTTACCAACTAATTGTTATGTAGGTGGTGAATGAAAATTTTGAAAGTGAAATTACGAAACTGCTTTCAATTTCAGTTAATTAAACTGTCCTTGTCTCAATTGTCTCTTCAATTAATCTCAAATTGTTTTATTGAATCAATAAATTTTTTATAGTTCGTCAGGTATTTCCTCGATGACCCAAATGCGTTATCTTGAGCAAACACAACAATCTCTCAATGACACAAACGTCTGTTTATTCAGATTTTCAGAAAAAAGGACGAAATCGCAGCGCAGGTGTGTAATCCGAGCCTCGAGTTAAATATTATAATTTGGAAAATATGGTGCCGCAACTAATATTTGAGAGTATCCCGAGAAATTTACATTTTAATTTTCTTGAAGACCGGTTAAAATATCCCGACCTTTTATTTCGCGCTGATCTTTCGCAAGATTTCATATAAATAATCAATAATAATCGATTTTTTCTCATCGAGGAATTTTTAATTCGAGTCCAGTCATCGAGTGGGATAGTTACGACTCGACAAGGTCATAACACCGCATCTGATGACTTTACTAATGTCCCCACGTCATAAAACAAAATCCGTTTTGGATTTTATTCTGATTGGTAAAACCTCCGGCACGACTCTAAGAGGCTTGTAAGATACATTCATTTAATTGTGAGGTACTGCCTACTAATTTATTGCTGTGATGTGAATGGTGGTTCTTAAAAAGAATTTTTGCTATTCATTGTACCGCTTTGTTATTCCGGAGAGTTAACAGAATTGTAAATAAATATTGATGCGATGAGTTAAATAAGTGTATTCCTTCCATCACAAACACTCACAAACTCCGGATTTTTTACCTAAGAGAAACATATCAAGGAATGTTTGCTTAGCAAGAGCAACGAAAACAATCAGTAATTCATCCCACCGGTGCGGCATCAAACTGATCTCAACTTTTGATAGTGTTGGCTTGTAATGCGGTCACTTAAAGATTTTTCTCCGGTCGGTTATGATGAAACTTTTCGGTATTCATATTGTGATTTTATCAATAGTTTATTCAGCGTAATCATTTTTAAATGGTACTATAAATCACACACAGTCACGGTCATCATCATCTCAAAAACAAACCGGAAATTAGAATTTCTCAAAATTCAATTTTCTCCAGAATGCAATTGTGACGAACAAGGCTCGAAAATCCAAGCATGCGACCCGATAACCGGCCAATGCCACTGCAAACCCAACTACATCGGCCCAAAATGCGATAAATGCAAAGTAAGCCCCACTGAACCTTAAATCCGCAAAAATAACGTTTTTTTAAGCCCGGTTACTGGAAAACGAAATCCGGGTGTTCCCCTTGTAACTGCAACTACAACGGTTCAACGAGTCTTAACTGCAACCCTCAAACCGGATTATGCCCCTGCAAACCCGGAGTCGAAGGACGCAATTGCGACACGTGCAAGGATAAACACTACGGAAACGTTGCAACCGGTTGTAAACTTTGCGATCCTTGCGACAAACCAGGGCACATCTGCCATCCGGAAACCGGAAAATGTGTTTGCCCGCCACTGACAACAGGAAAAAAATGCGACCATTGCGTCCCAAATGCTTATAATCTTGAACCCGGAAAAGTTGGATGCAAGGTAAGGCCGGACTTGTAGGGAACATTAACCACCGTAATTGATTTCCAGCCCTGTGATTGCTCGAAAAGCGGAAGTTTGTCCCAGCAGTGTGATGAATCCGGGAGGTGTAGTTGCAAGACAGGGTTTGAGGGGGAGAAATGCAACCGATGTTTGTTTGATTACTACGATTATCCTAAATGTCGCAAATGTGGCTGCGATATTGGGGGAACAAGGCCCGAGGAGTGTATCAACGGACTTTGCAAATGTTCGCAGGATGGATGCAAATGCAGGGTGATTAAAAATATTGTTGTGGTTTGGTTATTGTTTGTTTAGGCCAATGTTGAAGGGAGATACTGCAACAAATGTAAAGTCGGCACTTTTGGGATTTTCCCAAACCATTTTGAGGGCTGCTTGGAGTGTTTCTGTTCGAGCAGGTCGGCGGAATGTTCGGCTTCGAGGAGTGTTTGGGAGCCGGTTCGGAGTACAAATATTCAGAAACTTCCAGCTCGCGAATGTGTAAGTCCTTGTTTATCGAATGATTTTTGTTGCAATTAAATATTTAGGTTAACAAAATTTCCTGTTGGCAACTTCCGGACAAGTTCCATGGTGATTTAATTCGATCTTATGGAGGATATTTAAGATTATCCACAAATGAGTCCGGACATTTCAAAGTGTATTTAACCGGAAACGGTGTAACTTTAGAGAGTGTCAGTAATCCTTCCGGTTATATAAACATTTTGGAAACTTCTTGGAAACTCAAATTTAACACAGACCCACCGAAACTGCCCTACGAATGTCACAGTTTTCTAACAAGACCGTGTCTTATGGTTGTTTTGCAAAACGTTTCCGGGATCCAACTCGAACACAAACCTCCAGTTGGACACTTGATGTAAGATGTTTCCGAAATGTTTCCACATATTTTCTAACTCAAATTCCAGATTCCACGATGTTGTCATTGATAAGGAAGCAAATATTTCGGATAAAACGCACGAACAGTGCGTTTGTCCCGACAAATACACTTCATCTTCTTGTCAAGACCCAAATACTGGCTATTACCGATATTACCCAGAAGACACAGAACCTGGATATAATTACATCGACCGAATCATCGGTATAGCCAAACCTTGCCAATGCAACAACCGGTCAAACATTTGTGACAAAAACACCGGCCATTGTCTTGTAACAATTCCTAAATTCGAAAAACTTTTTCTCGAAATTTTTTTTTTCAGAATTGTACAGACTCGACCACTGGACCTCACTGCGAATTTTGCGCCGAAGGCCACTATATGGACACTTCCGGAAAATGCCTCCCGTGTTTATGCCCTTCGGAAAGTCAAAATTTTGCCAAAAATTGTACACCAAACGGACCTAATAATTTTATATGCATTTGCAAAAGAGGCTACTCGGGCCATAGATGCAACACTTGTGAAAATAACTACTGGGGGAACCCCCAAACCGGGGGTACTTGCCAACCTTGCAACTGTAACCCTTATGGCAGCGAAAGTTTAAAATGTGATAAAACAACAGGGAAGTGTAAGTGTAAACCGGGTTTTATGGGTGATAAGTGTTCAAAATGTTCGAGTTTGAGACACGTAATCCAAGATGGCATCTGTATTTGTGAGTATTTATAACTTTTTAACATTTTGGTGCTAAAAAGGGAATTTTAGCGTGCGATGAGTGTACCCAAATTTTGTTTCATACAATTGACGAGCTTTCGAATAGTCTTAACGACACTTTGGATAGTCTTAAGGATGGTATAGGACCGCCATGGACTCGCCTTAAGGAGATTAGTGACCGTCATAAGACTTATTCGTATCAATTTGACAATTTGGAAACGGCCAGAAAGATTATAAATGATGCCAATATTCCAGAAATGGAGAAACGGGTTGAAAAAATTATTCGAAACTTGCCGAAACGTAATGAAATCTTGTCGGAACAGACCAAAATAATTAATGACATGTCACAAGAGTCTAAAAAATTATCAAAGACAGTGCAAGAGCTTGACGATAGGGTCAACACTTTGATTGAAAATATCAACGGGTTTGGCAAATCGCAAGTCGATGTAAATGAGGCACTACGTGAGGCAAAAGAGATTCTAGATGAAATAACAGACATAGCAAACGAAGCACCTATTTTCCAATACGAAGAAATTTTCAAAAAGTGTCAGAAACTGTTCGATAATGTTAACCAAATTTATGGCAATGATATAAATACTGCCGAAGTTGAAAAAAAATTGAACGATCTAAGGCACCGATTAACTAAACTTAAAAAGTTGTTAGACCACACAGAGCGAACAAATCGACATGCGAAAAACAAGAATGATCAAAATAGAAAACGAATCCGGGCCTTGAAAGACACCGTAGATCGAATTAATGATCACAACTTTATCATTAATAAAGACATTGAAAATGTGTTGAAGAAAATTAACGCCACTAACGACTTATTAATTGACATGGAAGCCATTTATCAAATTTTGTCAAAAACAGATATAGAAAACGCGACGAAAGATTTGGAAAATGACGATATTGACCAACTCTACGATACCTTATCTTCGGTGAGAGACCACGTGAAACAGTTACAAGACAAAGTTAAGTTCTACAAGACCGTTTTTAATTTCACTTCCGAGGAATGGACTAAAATCAACGCGAGTGCCTCATATGATAACATTGTCAAAGGGATTGAAGAGGCAAGACGAGAGGCGAATGAGGCTCGGGACATTACATTAAAAGTTTTGAAAAAATTATATCCTTCAAACGACGATTCCCTCAATGATAAATCTAATCTAGCCAAAGCTTTTTCCGATCGAATTCAGAAACGAATTTTAAATTTGAAAAATCTGTCTGACGAGTTTTCCAAAACTTCCGAACAGTTGGAGGATTTAAAACGAGATATTCTCTTCAATGGTAAAAACAACAACGAATTAAACTCATTTTTGCGCGATATACAGAAAGACATAAGAAATCAGTCCGACATTATTTCAAAACTGAAGAAAAGTAAAAACGATGCTCGGAATGTCTCATCGATGATTGCGTCGATCGAGCAAAGGGTTAGGGATACGAATATTTCGCTCCAGTATGAGTTGACTAAAAGTTACTACAATTATTTGAATCTTACTTCAGCTAAAGGTAAAAAGAGTTAGTTCTATTGTTAGGTACAAAAAGTATAATTTTTTTTTAGATATTGCAAAACTTATGGAGCGGATTAAAAAAACTAGAAAAGAATTGCAAAATATCAACATTTCGTTGAATAACACTGCTATTGACCAAACTAGAAACATAAATACGAATAAATTTAACATTACTGATAATAATCTGAAAATGGTTAAAAACCAAATCGAACAATTGACGAAGAAAATTCGGGATGCCAACGAGAGAGTTGAATCGGTAATTTATTTGATGGTAGTAAAATTTATGTGTGTATATTTTGTATTCTAGGTCGATTACGGGGTTAATATAACTAAATGTGAAAGACTCTACAAAGTCCAAAATGATATTTTCCGTTCCTTGAAAATTCGATTCAAGTGCAAAACTTGCAATCTGTTCGAAATTTCTAATTCTAGAAATCAAAGAATTTGGTTACGTTATGAGGACGAGATGGTGTTGGTATCATGGAATAATCAAAATGCGAATATTTCGAGTTCTAATTTGGTTTCAATTCAAAGGTAGTAATCTTTTGTTTCTTATTTTTTCTAAAAATTGGTAAACAGGACCGGCACTAACATCCTCCGAATTGAATCAGAAAAAGACAGAGCAACATTGAATAACATTGATCCCTTCTATATTGAAGACTCTTATCCTTTAAAAATCGGAAATTTTGAACAAAACAACTCGACCGACGCTGCCATCCACAAAATTATTTTGAACGGCCAAACCATCGGTCTTTGGAAATTCAATCAATCTAAAGGCCAATGTCTTGGATTCGTTCAAAATACCAGTAATGACGGCCTTGAAGACGTCTTCTTTGCCGGTAACGGCTACCGCCACCTCCAAAAAGACTCGTTGAGAGAATTATTCCCCAAGCGACTCAATTTCAAATTCTACTTTTCGACTTTTGACGAAAACAGTCTCCTTTTTGTGGCCCAAGATACGACAAACATTTCGTCATTTATTGCTCTCAATCTTGTCGACGGAAAAGTCGAGCTTAAAGTACGACATGTGGATGGGACAAGTGTGAGACTTACATCCAAGGAAAAGTACAATAATGCCAAAGACACAACTGTGGAGGTTACGATGTTATATGACGAGGAAAAACAAACTTACTCTTTAAAAATATTATCATCGAAAGAGGAACCACAAGAGCAATCTAGAGTGTTGGCAAGAGCTAACGTTTATAAAATTAAAAAATCGGAAGCTTTCATTGGAGGAGTTTCGAGTAGTTCTAAGGACAAAATTCCGATTGATATTGATACGACTTCGTTCTTAGGGAATTTGAAAGTGAGCAGTGAGAAGTTGGTAGTCATCAGCCAGAATTCCTTCTCTTATAATATTGAACCTAGACTTCAAAATGTAAAAATGAGGAGTTTTGTTTCGTTTAATTGATTTTTTAATTTTAGTTGGAACTGAACAAGACTTGGTTTTCTGGTAACGGATTTGTGAATCTTCGAATTCCTTCTAGTTTTACAAATTTTGCGTTCCATTTTCGACCAATCCACGTTGAAAATCTTTTCATTATGAATATTGGCGACGAAATCGATATTTACCTCGACAAAGCTCATCTTATTTTTAAAACACTAAACAGCGAAATACCTTTCCAGACACCTATTTGTGTCAATAGCAGCTACTTCGTCAACATCAACTCGACCAGTGTCAGCGTGAACGGCAATGAAATGAGTTGGAACCAGCCGGTGGAAATTGCCAAAATTCGAAACATCTTCTTAGGGGCTTACAAGAATAACAATCGGCAAAATTTCAGTGGAAGCATTAGAGATATTTTTGTTGATGACCGGTAAGTGACCAAATCACAGTTGCAAACTCGGCTATGCCTTATCTTCCAGTCCAGTCACTTTCAACATCAGCACAATCAAATCTTTCGCTAAGGCTCAAATTGGTCGAGACTACCCTTCAACCCTTCAATCGAAAAGCGAATGTATGAATTTTATGCAAAATACCGAACGTTACTTTCGCACGCCTGACTATAAAACCGAGCCGCAAGCCTTCAAATTCGGCGATAAATTGAACAGTTATGTCTTCATCAAAAACACATTTGGTGGAAAAAAATTCGTGATGGAGTTTCAATTCCGGACGTTTTACCCCAATGGGCTGCTCTTTCTGGCACATGTAAGTGAAAAAAGGAGGGTTACATTAAGTACTCAAGTTTGATTGGATTGGAACGTCCAATCTAAATTGATTAGTTTTAATACTAAAATTGTTAAAATTGTTTTTTCAGTCAATGAATAAAAATCTAACGTTTTACACCGTGTTGGAAGTCCATGGGGGCGACATAAGACTGTGGGTTCAGGGCCACAAGCCTAAAAAAACTAATATGACCAATCGACTAAATGATGGTTCCTGGCACCACGTCCTCGTCGAACAAATCCTCGGCAAAAAAAGGTGGAGGATAGTAGTGAAAGTTGATAAGAAATGGAAGGTGAAAGATAGGACGCAACGCAATAATTTTAATGGCGATTTCTACTTTGGAGGCGTCTCAGATAATTACGACGTTCATAAAAAATTAGTACTTGTTTTAACTATCATTTGTTTTTTTTCTAAATTTTGAGTTTCAGAGGAACGAATTGTTGCCTTTTAGAGGCTGTATCCGGTCATTGAAAATCAACAAAAATTTGCAAGTGGTTAAAAATAATAATAATGTTTTCTACAATAATATAGGACAGTGTTTCCAAAATGTAGAAGAAGGGGCCTATTTCGGAGGCGACGCTTATGCGATTTATAGTGCGTCCAAAAAATTGTAACTCTTGTATAAATTTAATGTCTTTGTTGTAGAATACGACTTCAAAGTGAATAAATATCTAGAGTTGGGGTTTGAGTTTAAGACTGGAGAGCCCAACGGTATTTTCCTGAGTGTCTCAAATCCGCGCAACAGTCCCGCCCTATCGGTTGAGTTGCAAAATGGCGCTGTAGTCATGACGATTGATATGGGAAATGGGATTATTTCTAAAGTCACAAATAGCCCCCATTCGGACTTGACTCTTGCCAATAATGAATGGCATAATTTGACAGCTTTGTATTCTAGTTTTGAATTAACTGTTAATGTTGATGGAGTTAGGAAAAGTTGGGTTCAATCTGATGTTAATTCGATGGTTGATGAAATCGAAGCGCCATTGTATATCGGGGGTTTACCAAGTAGTATTATTTCTGTGTATTTTTCTACAGACCATTTTATTGTTTTGTTTCAGTTAACGCCCCCAGTGGTACTTTGAAAATTAAAGAAAATTTCAAAGGGTGCATACGTAAATTCAAAATCGAGGATACTTTAATGGACTGGACAGATATGAAAGAACTGAATAATGTACAAATCAATTCGTGCCTTGTTTAGTTGATAATTTTTATAAAAAAATCGACGTATTTTTTATACTATCGAGTATTTTATTACAGAGTATTATTTATTACTACGTATTGTAAAAACTGCCTGAATTGTAAATACCTAATTTGTATTTTGTACATAATTTTATTTAATTATTTTATTTTCTTGCATGCCATATTATCTTTAGCGTTAGAGAAGCATTATGTATGTAAGAGTACCTATTTGTAAATAAATTGTGTTGAAGAAAAGAAATATTTTAATTTCAAAAATTCCCGCTTAAAATACTAAAAAATTTTAATTAGTTTGTTGGACGACTGTATTTTTCGAAACATGATGGAATCGCATAATCAGAAATATTGAAGTTGTGTCTAAAGTCCCTATATTCTAGGGACTTTAATAGTGTCAAAGTGGTAGATAAAGTGCTATCAATAAATTTTTATTTTTACAAAAAGTATACAATTAAAACATAATAATAATTTATTAGGAAGGATTTGAATTAATTAATTTCATTGTTACTTTCTACAATTAGTATCAAACCAGTGAGTAATCCCCTTTCAAAAACCAAATTACAACAAAGTAAAACAAATTTTTTTAGGTTAGGATCTTGTTTAATAAACAAAAATATGTCAGAGCAGGGACAGTTTAGTAACAACAGCACTAATTCTGAAGAAGGGGACGTTTCAGGGGCCCCTATGAATAAAAATCAGACTCCCAATCAAACACAAAATGCAGCCTCAACTAATAAGCAACCTGCCTCAAGACAGACTAATTTGCAAAGGATACAACAGAAAAAACAGGCCGTTTTGGCTTTTCCATATAATAAAAAGTTGTTAAAGCTTGCCATTTATTCCAAATGCCAGGTAAGTGGCAAACAAACAATCTGTTCAATGTAAAATTATTTAACATTTGCATCGTATGAAAAAAAATCAGTGAAAATACGCTTTATGATATTTTTGAAATGACTCTTTTCTTACAATACTTTTTCTTGAAGATTGGAAAAGTACTTTAATTTTCAAATGTCGGATATGTTTAAAGTAACACTAATTTAGATTTTTGATACGAGAGAATTTACAATTAAGTTTACAGTTTCAATGTTCAACCATACTTTACTCATAATGAGATTTGTAAAATTTTTATTTTTAAATATATTTAAAAATAGAAACAGGAAATGCGTTTTTATTTCTTAGAGTGAAAACTGCATTTGTACCGGTTGGAAAAAGACTGACCCCAACATGCAAGAACCCACATTCACCGATCCCTGTCGTTGCGAGCATCCTTTAGGTACAAGTCATTTCAAGCCTTATCAAAAAAAATAATATGCCTCGTTCTAGAAATGCACATTTCTCATTTACGTAACAAAACTGAAGAGGAATTAAACCGTCTCCTTCGTATGGTGGTCGACATCGACAACATGGGCACTGCCATGAGTCGAGAAGAAAACACTGAAACGAAAAAAGTTTACACTTACTTATTCCATTTATTGCGTAAATGTATCCTAACCCTTGATACACCCGTTGTCGAAAGCTCTCTTGGCCAGCCCCCATTCGAAAAACCTTGCATCCACAAGGCAATAACAAACTTACTAGTTTACAAATTCTCACATTTGGCCCAACAAGAGTGGAAGACAATGTATGAAGTGGCCCGAATTCTCCTCCACTGTTTGAACACTTGGGAGTTCCCGAGTCCAAGCAGCCAGAAGCACATCGTAAGCCCGGAAGAAGCCACAGTTTACAAAATGGAACACATGCGATGGCTTGTGTTTTGCAACGTACCGACATTTTGCGACTCTTTAAAACATTACGACACTACTATGGTGTTTGGCAGGACTCTTCTTCGGGCTGTTTTTAATTACATGAGAAAGCAAATAATGGACCAGTTTAACCGAGAGAGAGACAAAATGCCCCAAGAACGTCGAGTTATGTTACTCACACATTTTCCTCCCTTTTTGAAAACTTTAAACGAAGAAATTTACGCGCAGGATTCCCCGATTTGGGACCCTGAGTTCAAACAAGGACCCCCACAACACTTCCAGAATTTATTTGAATCGGGGAAAAACAAAAGTAGGGAATTGAAAACCAATCAAATTTGCCTTCATTATTTTTTTTCAGCGAATGCCAAGCGAGGACCGACTGAATTACAGGAAAGAGATGCGAAATCGGGCAAAAGTGGGGAAACACCGAGTCGGGAGACTAAACGAAGGAGGGCACAGGATGATCAGTTTGAGGACATTCCCACGGAGACTGTCGCACAAATCATTGCAACGATTGATGATCCTAATTATATGACCGGGCCTGATGTTAGTGTTACATAAATATTTTTTTCTATGAATTCTATTATTTTATGTTCTTAGCTGATTTTTTCTGAGAATGCACCTGCCACAGACGAGGCTCCCAAACTTTTAGAAAAACGAAAAGTAATCGAAATGCATGTTATTGGTAATAGTTTAACTGAAACCGTTTCGAAACAGACAATGTTGTGGTTTATTGGTCTACAAAATGTGTTTTCGCTTCAGTTACCCCGAATGCCGATCGAATATATCACCCAATTATTATTTGATCCGTAAAAATTCAAAATTTTTAATCAAAACGAATTTTGAAGTGATTAATTTCAGGAAACATCGGACTATTGCACTGATAAAAGAAAATCGTCCAATCGGTGGTATTTGTTTCAGACCTTTTGAAACTCAAGGTTTCACCGAAATTGTTTTTTGTGCTGTTACTTTCAGCGAGCAAATTAAAGGCTACGGCACTCACCTAATGAACCATCTTAAAGACTACCACATTCGCAAAGGCATTCTCCACTTTTTGACCTTCGCAGACGAGAACGCGATTGGTTATTTCGAACGTCAAGGCTTTTCCAAAGACATCAAACTCAACCGGTCCATTTATCAAGGCTATATTAAAGACTACGAGGGTGCCACTCTCATGCATTGTGAATTGAACCCCAAAATCATCTACACTGAATTCACTTCAGTCGTGAGGAGGCAAAAGAAGTTCGTAAAACAGTTGATTTATCAACAGCAGAGGAACGTGTCAAAGGTCCACCCCGGGTTGACTTTCTTCAAAGAAGGAGTGAAAAACATTCCAATTGAGTCCATTCCGGGGCTGCAGGAGACGGGGTGGAAGCCAGCCGCAAGGGCCACTCGGGGGGCCCAACAGCTGGAAGAGTCGCAGGATATTGATGTGTTGGCTGATATGCTAAAAACTGTGCTCCAGGCGGTGAAGAGTCACGAAGACTCGTGGCCGTTTAGACTTCCGGTTGATAAAAATGACGTTCCGGATTATTATGACCACATCAAGTATCCTATGGGTAAGTTTAAAGTGCGATTGTGTTTTGTTTGATGTGGGGGTTGCAGATTTGAAAACAATGGCCGATCGGCTGAAATCAAGGTATTACGTGTCGAGGCGATTGTTTATCGCTGATATGATGCGAATTTTCCGAAATTGTAAAATTTATAATTCTCCAGAGACGGAGTATTATCAGTGTGCTGTGAACTTGCAGCAGTACTTCCAGACGAAGATGAAGGAAGTTGGTTTATGGGACAAATAAGAGATTAAGAGAAAACCAATATATTTAGTGTTTTATACATTACATAATAAAACGAGTATGAATAATAAAAATGACTAGTAAAATTGATACTGGATTTTAATCAAATGTATTAAATAAACTATATTTAAAAAATCCGCAAAGAATATTAACGAAGTGGTGGCAGAAATGTCGTTGATATTCTTCGCTAACAACAGCTGCACCCAAGTCTAGCGCCATCATTACGCAAATAAATAACATTAGTAAGAAAAAGTCGGTAATACCTTGTAACCGAGATTCGATTAGTTGTCTAAGATCCATCTAAATTACACAATTTATTAATACAACAATACAAAATACTCTTCAAGATCACTCTTACTGTTCGTCTAATAAACATAATAACAAACTCAACTGGATAAATAACGGGTTTGTGCAAACAGGAATATACTTAAACTATAATTCCGAGTCGTGCGACTAGAAAACGATAACAAATTACTTATGCTAAATACTGCACTCGTCGCTATCAGTTGATAACTCCTCTGGTTCATCACCGTCTAATACTAATTCAAGATTCGGCGAAAGAACATCTTCGTCTCCACCTTCATCGAATGAGCTGCAAATCAAAATTGTTATTTCGTGACAAAAACATATCCATTGTATGCGTTATGCAATAAATGATTATGATGTAGAAGAGTTTTTAATCCCGTATTAAGTGAGATAAGCGACCGCTGAAAAATCATGCCGAGAGTTAGTTAATCATGCGCCATCGGAAAAATTTTAAGCGGTTGGTATTAGTTGGGCCCTTGAGAATAAAACTGGTCTTACCCTGTCAAAGCCACAATCGTACTCCCTAAATACAAGCATAATATCAATAAAAGAACTAACACAAATCACCAGTACCCGTAAAGAATACAAAAACGAGGGATACTCACAGACTGTCTTGTTGGTCATTGCCGCCTTCCTCAGCCACCAGCAGTTCGTATTCTTCGGCGGCGTAGCGATCCCAGTCGGACATCTGCGAAAAAAAATTTCGATTTTTTTGAAACATCAAAATTCACATTTACTGACCTCTTGCCCGTCAATATCATGGTCTCTCTGCGAAGCGAAAGGATCCCTCTGCTCGTGATCCAAATACTTTTCAAGGTTGAAGAACGTATCAAAGAAAATAGGCGTCATTTTACACTTCTTTAAGTCACTTAAGGCAATTTTCCCTGGAATTTTCGGTTTCACCATGTCTAACATTTGACACAAACAGTCCTACAATCATGATGTGAGCAAAAAAAATTGTTTTTTTTTTTCAAAAGTACTTGAAAGGGTAAAGTTTCAATTCCTATAGCTTCCATTCTCTGCATTTGCTCCTCATAAAAATACTCCAATTCGTACATGGATAAATACCCATCACCATCGATGTCCATACACCGGAACCAATACTCTATAGCGGTGGGGTGCTGTTTATCTTCTTCACTCAACAAGAACCAAACGAACTCCGTGTATGACATTTTTTCATCGTGTTGTGACCTCTTCTGGCCGCGGGTCACACAGCCACTGAAGATGCGGTCGATGATTCGTGACGAAAGAGCTAAAATTAAAATATCACCAAAATTTTTGGTTTTGGGTGATATTTTACCGTGATCGTTGTGTCTGGTCAAGTCTTGCTTATCAATAAACAAATCGTGATCACGATCGAGTTCCCAAAACTTGCAATAAATCACATAGAAATGTTCATAACTAAAGTACTGAGTAATCTGATTGATATCTTCCTCTTCCTCCAAAAACTGGATAACATTAAGTAAATTCGATCGTCTCAATTCCGGAATTGAGATCCTCCCGGACCAAGACCTATTAACGCAGTAATAAATCCGGGCAATAACAGTATGCACATAACGCGAATGGAACTCCGTCGCTTCCTTCAAGAAAGTCAACCCCGGATGTGTTTCGACCACATCTTGAACCAAGGGAATAAAATCCTCCGGTGCGAGCCAATTCCGGCGCCCCCGTGTCAGAATATAGACGAATCTCGAGGCCGCATCGTGGGAATTATTCGTCATGCTGTTAAAAAAAGATTCACAAACGGATTTTGTGTTTTCGATTATTACCTCGTCCAGAAAGTCATGAACTGTTCTTGGGTGCACGACCCTTTATCAGCACAAGCGGCGAGATATAAGGGAGTTTTCCAATAAAGCGGTAACTGACAGGTTGTAGCAATGGTGGAGAAGTCTTCTCTGGAAGCGCGGCCGTCGATGGAGGTGAAAGTTGAGGTGATTTTGGATTTGATGGTGTCGAGATGGCCAGGGGGGGCTGGTTTGCCGGTGGGGAAGTGGAAGCGGGGGATGTTCACGTTGCGGTGGGTTCGGATGTGCCGCTGGAGGGTGGTGTGCTGAAGAGTAGGTTGTTTTGGAACAGTCTGAGAAATAAAACGGCAGAATGAAGATAATTCTTCTAGGTAATGAGTAAAAGCCGCTATGTTTTATGAACATTTAAAATGGTATCTGTTGGTATATCATAATGAATAATAATTGTTTTGTACAATCTTCCACTTTCGTAAGCAAATGTTAATTGAATATTTTTCCACTTTTTAAGTGTGTATTTATTTAAATAAAAGATAAAAAAGTTAGAGTTTTGTTGATAAAATTTCTGTTTTTTGGGTAAATAAAAAATAACACTTTTTATATAAGAAAGTTTTAGTTATAATTTATTATCGAAGAATGAATAACTTGTTATTCAGTCACTTGTCGCAAAGCAATTATCAAAAACTTTATTTATTTTGTACTCAATGTTAAAGAGTGCTTTTATCAACTAATTTCAGTAGATAAAGTAGTTTTATCGTCTAGTGAAATAAAGTAAATTTTATCTACTGTTTATATTTTATCAACTAATTTCAGTATTGCAGTCATCGTCTTGTATAATAAATAACTATTTTTTAATGCAAATTCTACGATTTCCAAAATTTATTATATTCACGATTTGTTTGTTTTTTATTCTTCTACTTTTGTGAGATTGACAACTACATAAAAGAAAACAAAGGTTTTTTTTACTGAGATTGAAAAAAAAAAGGTTTTTTTTTACTGCGATTGAAAAAAAAATGTTTGAATTACGTTTCTTTGTATTCATTAAGTTGTGTAAAAAATAAAAAAAACTAATTTCGTAAAAAATAAAAGGATTAATAGTTACACCAATAAAAATTTTGTAATGCGGCTCTGCCCACCATCCGTAAAACTCAAGGTTAAGCATCATTGCAATGAATTAATTTGCAAGTTAATTATTATAATAACGTGTCTCAAATGATATTTTAATTCGATTCCTGTTTCATAATTTTACGCAATTTTTTAGACACACTATCCGAAAATCATTTTACAACGGAATTTGTAAATAATTGTATAAATATTTACTAAATGTAAATACATGAGCCAGATGCTGGTAGTATCTACCTCTTCAAACTTTTATAACTAGAGTATTGCGAAAATTTTCCTTCGGGCCTTAAGTATTTTATAAATACCACTTTGGCAAATTGCATATTATTATATTCCAATTATAGCATTAGCAACAATTACGTGATGCCAACATGACTCACGTTGATGTAAGAAAATCATTTATTTACCTTAATTAATAACTAAATCGCAGATTTTTTGCTTACCTGCGGCTTGGCTAATTGCGTCACCGGCGCCCTCGCCCTTTTATCCAACAACAAATCACTGGGACACCTCTCGAAAATCAGCACCCTTTCGGCGACCGACCCCCGTGTCAAAAACGGTCGAATCGGATTGGTATTCGTTTGCCTCAAATGCTGTCTCTGTACCACCGTCAATTCCGGATGAGGCACCTGTTGTTCAACCCTTCTCGTGTTCCGCAAGCCCCATTTAGTGGTGACTTCTTTTTCCGGTTCTTTGGGTTTTGTAACAGAAGGGTTTTGGGAGAGCTCACTGTCCAAAATCCCATTTTTGAGCGCGTTGATGAGCCGTTTTTCCTCGAGGGCTACTTGGTCGATGGTTGTGGGTCTATTTGGGAATTGTGGAGTTTGGGGGTCGGGGCGCACTTCCGAGGCCGTTTTCTTCACCGTGTCGGTGGTGATGACGCGGTTCTTCAAAGGCCAGGTCTGGAGGCCGTGAGGGCTGACGTCTTCGGGAAGCGTCATCTCGATCGTTTCGGCGAAACGGGGTTTCGGGGAGATTTGGGGCTTTTGGCTGATTACGGGCTTTGGGGTCTGGATCTGAAGAAAATAAAAGATTTTTACACATTGATTCAAGTCACAAAAATTAGCACCAACAATAATTCTTGTCAGTAATTAATGCTTCATAGTGCCTCAAATCTCGTTGCTAGTGAAATAAGTGTTATTAATAAGTACTTCAAAATATTTCAATTTTTGTTTTCTAAAAATACAGGATGTTTCAGAACTTGCGCCCCAGAGAAAAATGCTAAGTAAGAAATAGCTAAAAGACAACAAAAATTTTAGATATATTTATTGATTTTTAAGACCATGTTCATAATAATTATTTAAAAGTTGGTCACAAAACTGCTAAAATGGGACGAAAATTCCAAAACTAGCACTTCCGGAAGGATCCGGAATAAAAAATCAGTAGCTAAAGCTGCAATTTGGTAAAATTACTTCAACTTTCGATTTGTGCAAACACGCAAAGTGGTAATTTCCATACACGTCAATGAGAATCAATCTCATCACTGTAATGTTTTAACGAAGATTAAATTGCTTTCAACCCGCCGTCGATAATTATTTTAATGAAGGCGGATCCTGATCGAAGTAATCTTTTTTATAGTGAAATTTGACCATCAATCTTCGCGAAATTATAAACACGGGCAATTAAAATTTATTTTTAGTTTTATCGGCAATTCCAAATGAAGTTACCCACCGCGACCTTTAACACCAATTCGCATCAAATTAAATCCAGATTCCATTTGACCTTCCGATTTGTTTACCTCATTAGCCAGCGCTTTCGCGCCTTCTGGGCCAAAAATGTTCGATTTGAGCGGACTTTTTTGCACACTTGAGTCATTCTTTGTATTTTTCTCAAACTTTTGAAGGGCGTATTGGATACTCGACGGCATCGCCTTATTTCTCGCCGCCAACCTCGCCTTGTCTTCCACGACGAAGTTTTTGACCAGTTTTTCCAGCCGGTTGTTGTCCATGGTGGGCGCCTGGGCTAGCAGATCGATCGAGGGCTTCGCCGGTGGCTGAGGCTTCAGCATTGATCTGCAGGTGAGAAAAATCAACGACCATAAGAACGAGGTTGATGCCTTTGCGAGTGCTGAAATTTCCGCATTCCGACCGAAGCGAAATAACTTACCCTAGCTTCGTGGTGTCCCCTACAGCATGGCAGGTGATTAAATCGGCTGGTGCTAGACCTCTCGACTTCCAATTTTGATAAATGGCCTCGGCTTGTTCCGAAATCTGTTTTGCTATCGCTGCTATATCGTCGTCGGGGTCTCGGCGGCGGGCTGTGGTCGCCATTTTGCAAAATTTTCACGATAATTGGTTATTTTAAAAGAATGGAAAAGGGCCAAGGGCTGGCCATCCTCAGCAAGGATTTCTGACACCCAAATCGGAATTATAACCTGAAACAATTATTATTGTTATCTATAATCAGCGAAATGTAATATTTATAATAATGTTCAGAGTATCTTTATCTTAATTGCTGTAATTAGCATGATAAGGCGATTGTTTAAAACACTCTTTTACTGTTACCACAAATAAATTTAACGCTACAGTAAGTAGCATTAATTCTAACAGACTTTACGCAAAAAATAAAATAAAATTTCTGATCAAAGCGGCCTCTAACTTTGGAATGAAGTTAACAATTAAAAAAAAATATATAGACAGAAGAAATAAAAATTGACTAGTCTCAAATCTCTTATTTAGTTACTAAGACATGAACTTTTACAGGATGCTTCAGCTTATACAGTGCGGTCAAAAAGTCTTTCTATCAAGTAGGCGTCCTAGTTGAGGACGTATGTTGCATGGCAGTTCGTATGTTATCTAGATGTCAAAAAATTATTTTATAAAAATTAAAACATTGAGCTAATTAAATTGAATTATTCTATGAAACGTCTCAAAACAAACTAAAATAAGATCTTGTTGGTGTTTATTCATAAAAATCGTTCACCACGGTTTCCTGTCATAATTTACATAAAAAATATTTTGACATTTCTCATTTGTCATTGTGACATTTTATTTTCCTCAGACATACGTTTTAAATTTCTACGCTTGCTTGATAGACAGACTTTTTGATCACACTGTACAACATTAACGTTTACGCTTGTATTTCATTTCAAAAAATGATATTTTTAGAATAATGTTACACAATGAGACTTTACGATTTTAAATTAATTTTCATTTGAAATTCATTTTTAAAAATCAACTTACACCTACTAAACACCGGATAAAATCTTAGTTTTATAGTTTATGTTTATACTTTTCACGAAAGGAAGCCATCCAAATTCATGTTTGTTTTGAATGCAGATTGAAACTTATTGACCCAAATAACTGTAATAATTTGTAATTTTAATTTCCTGTTTCTTCCGTTTAGGTACTTCCCCCCAGTTTTAATTTTCGTGTTCATCAGTGAAAAACCTGTCGAGAATAACTACCAGATGTCGACAATTTAATTAAGAAACTTTTGTCCGGTTAATTGTTCTCTGGAAAAAGCAACTCATTTTGTCGTACATAATTGGTTTATGAAATTTTCGCGAAAGTCTCTGTACTTTGCTGAATTTTCGTGTATATTTTAACAAAATTGTTTATACAAAAGCGATTTTGTTCGCTAGTGATGAGTTGCGGGTTTTCCGACCGACTTCGGGCCGCTCTATTTCTGAAACGGCGCGGAATGCTGCCAAAGAAATCCTCTCTCCCCGCACTAACATCAAACCGGGTTTATTACACATGAAGAAACAAAACATTATTCAAAATTCATAGGAAAAAAGCTTCAATTAAGCCATAAACGAGCTTTTAGTAATCTCGAGAGTGTCATCAAAGTTTTATCAGCCTTCATGTCTCTTCAGTTTATCGCTTGTTGCTTCAATAAAAGAGGAAAACTGATGATTGATTGAAGATGTTTGTGTGTTTAGGAAAGAATGTCTTTGCTTAATCGATTTCGATAAAAAGAGAAATAGCTGTGCAAGCCCGAGTGAAAGGTCAATACGCCTATTTAGCCTAAGGTCAATTTCACACTCGGGAGACTGATAAATGATTTGAATACGCACCTATTTGTTGTCTTGCAGAATTTGAAATATAAGTCGTGACCCATTTTGCTGAAAATAAAAAGAGGAAATTAATCGTGGAACGTTGGATTCGCTTAGAAACAATCAAAGGTTCGTGACTTATCAATGTTTCAAAAATTTGGAACAAACAAACAAATGCAAATATAAAAATGTATTATTTTAAGCCAAGGAGAGACTTGGAAAGTTTATTTATATTATACAATTTAGACATTTATACAGGGTGCGCCAGAACTCGCTCCCCAGAGAAAAATGCCATATAAGGTAAGATACTAGGAACATGGAAAAAATGTTAAAAAAATTTTATCTATAAAAATTTCGAAGTTATAAGGGTTTAAAGTTTGCACTTTGACTCTATTTACTTCTGTTGGAAAAATAATTTTCCAAGTTTTTTTGCTATAGGCTATTAAAAGAGGAAACAAGGAAGCTGTATCCTAAATTGTAACTCTGTTCAATGTTATTTGTTGCTTTTATTGGCAAAATTTTTGTCCTTTTACTAAATAATTGTAAAAAAAATATATACAAGATTATCAGTATCCTTAAATAGATATAAAAAAATGTCAAATGTCAAAATTTTTTGACAGATAGAATTTTTTAAACATTTTTTTCATGTTCCTGGTATCTTACCTTACTTGAAAATTTTCTCTGGGGCGCGAGTTCTGGCGCACCCTGTATACATAATTCCAAATTCTTTTCAATATTATCGGCCATTTTATTAACATCATGTTGCATCAGTTATAAATATTTTATAAACGATACTTAATATAATTAAGGATGTTGAGAAATTTGCAAATATGAAACCTTGCCATTGTTTCTTAGATACTTCCTACCAACAAAAAATTGATCCCTGAAATTGTACAACTGTAAAAGTAATGAAGAAAAATGTGTTAATATTTCAAAAACATATTAGAAATGCTAACTAAATGGTTAATTATTATTGTTACAATAATGAAAATTTAATGGATATAGTAGTATATGAAGTAGTATAATTAACTGAAATAATTGCATATTGAGTTTTAATTAATTTTTGTCAATGGATAACTTTATGCAATCCTATAACATCAATAAATTAAAATAATCTCTTGACACATTCCTATACATAAAAACTATGGCCAGTTTTGCCTCAAATGCATTAAATCGACCAAAATTTTTATTTTTTCTTTCCAACAACCGGTATTACTTTTATCTGTTTGTTGTGAAAGTATTTAATGAAACTATTTTTGAAACACCTCAAGCTACACCTCGATCAACACTAAACGGTGAGATTTCTAAAACGTATTTTTTTCTCAAATAATAATTAATTTATAGTTGGTCCATAATATACATAGGTGTATAATTACAGCGAATTTATGGTTAGTGAAAGTATAGACAAAAATGGTACCAAGCAATAAATATCAACACTAATTAATAGAACAATTAAAAAAATAACAGTCAACACATTTTTTCCTAAACGATTTCGTTATTGTACTTTTATGACAAGAGCCATAATTTCTGTTTTCTTGAAACGTGGACTAATTTTCTGTTCTTCGTTACGCAGAGGTCGCAAAACTGTCCATGTAGGTATAGATTTTTTAACAAAAAATATAAGTCACCGATTCATTAAAAATACATATTACTTATTTTGAAAGAAAAATATAGTTTGCATGTGCCCTCTGCATTCGAATTTACATTTTTACCTTGCGATATAACTTACTATCGCCGTGCCCCACCTTCCCCCCACTTTTAATTGTTCACTTGCATCAAAACAACTTGCACTATCTTTTTTTTTCACAGATGATTGCCCAACTTGATTTCTGATTCGTTTTCATTCACTCATTCACTCCAAACATCAATATTGGAGCAAGCATCCACAAAAAAAACGAACAACCTTCACCCAATAATATTTATTCTTTCATGAACGGCCAAAAATTACTTTTCAATGACGGAGGTTTTACAATCGTAGCCACGAAAATGTACCTAGACTCAACATTTTGTTTTTGTGACATATGAGAACACCTTCGAACATTTACATATTATTACCCATAAGGGGGACGCCCACGTTAACACTTGACCTGGTAATTTAACCCCCACCATGGTACAATGTGGAGGACTTGATATGAAATGGCAAGTTAATGAAGTTGAATGAAATTCTTTAAAAGGCAAGCGAGCGAAGACTATTTTGGGAAAATTGTATCGATGCTTTGGTATGAGCGAAAAATTGAAAATTACGATTTTATTAAAACGTTATGTAATTTAATTAGCTAATGATAAACCTGGCCCATAAAATTATACCGTGCGATCAAAAAATAAATAAATTAGAGTAGGCGGTGATAAAAGTCCTTCAGATGGCAATCCTGATTTTTGACATCAAATGTCAGCGGAAACTTTGACAAGTTTGCGTTTTATTCCTTGTGAGTGAAATAATGTTCACTTCATAGCAGAATTTTTTTATTGCTGTACAAGAGGAAAACGGTGGATGGTCATTTTCATTTTCAGTTTGTGTGGAAAATTTCCAGCACAGATTCTCAGCCAATGTGTTGCCAACTGTAGAATTTAATCGACGCCTACTCTAATTTATTTTTTATTTGATCGCACGGTATTATAAGCCATTTTGGTGGCCCAAATTAACAAATAATATTGTTGGAGTAAAAACTTTACTAAACTATTGAACAGGTACATCCAGAAAGGGTAGAAATTTATTATAAAATACTTGTTTCCAATTTTTGTTAAAATTATAAGAGGATTAACATTTTTTTATACGTCTGTATTCGATAACTTCCTCCAATATGTTTTATTCATTCATTATTTCACTAAAAACTATTAGGTACCTCCAAAAGAATTATTTTAATTTCTTTAAATTGAAGATACCTACGGACTACGGATAAGCATAAAAGGTAATACGTAATTTGTAAAAAAAAATAGTTCATTATTCTACTTAAACACGGAAAATTGAATACAGTTCCAATATTGACACAAAATATAGGTTCTTTCTATCAAGAGCACAAATATTTATTCATCAAATACAGGGTGCGCCAGAACTCGCGTCCCAGAGAAAATTTTCAAGTAAAGTAAGATACCAGGAACATGAAAAAAATGTTTAAAAAATTCTATCTGTCAAAAAATTTTGACATTTGTTTTTTGACATTTGACATTTTTTTATATATAATGATACTGATGATCTTGTATATGTTTTTTTACAATTATTTAGTAAAAGGACAAAAATTTTGCCAATAAAAGCCACAAATAACATTGAACAGAGTTACAATTTAGGATACAGCTTCCTTGTTTCCTCTTTTAATAGCCTATAGGAAAAAACTTGGAAAATTATTTTTCCAACAGAAATAAATAGAGTCAAAATGCAAACTTTAAACTTCGAAATTTTTATAGATAATTTTTTTAAACATTTTTTTCCATGTTCTTGGTATCTTACCTTATATGGCATTTTTCTCTGGTGCGCGATTTCTGGCGCACGCTGTATAGGATTAGTTCAAAAAATACATATAACAATGAAATAGATAACTCTAAGATTTATCTAGTTTGGAAATTTGTATTTGTTATCAAATATTATAATAACAATTTCACAATTTCACAGTCCATAGACACCAGAGTGAAAAAACGCAGTAACGTTGCTTTTAATTGTAACAATTTTACCAAATCAATCTGACTGCAGATATTTAAATTTAGTGTACTACTTAATTAATTGAATTCATAAATGTCTTCATTAATTTTGAACTAAAGAAAATTTTTGTTAGGAGTTAAAAAGGTAAAATTATTAAAATTGTAACTAATGCGATGAATAACATATCTGTTAAAAGTGACCTGCGACTTGGAAATTAAGTTGGCGATATTGTATAATTTAGAGCCAGAATGTATGAAAATTGACGAGACTCAAATCTTTTGTCTCGACATTAGTCAATGTTGCCGACGATGATTTATTTTACAAGAATATATCTCTAATTGGATTATTTATCTATTGATAAAATGCCAGTAAATTTGTACTCGAGATATTTTTCTAATTTCGCTGTCGATTTTGCTAAACCGATGAAAATTTATTATTTATTTTTTTCGCTACTAGCTTTAAAAGACATTATTACAAATCATTTTTGATGCTTGAGAAATTGATTTTGTCCACCTTAGCCAATAATGAATTTTTCTGTACTACCAGTGTATAAAAAACAATTGACAATGGTTAATATAGACGACTATTTAAGAACAATACAATGATAACATTAAAGCCTTGTGATTTATTTTAAATAATTTTTAAAATTACAATGAGATAAAAATAAAGTTGTAAATAAAGTCCTCATGAGTTCAATATTTATACAAGGAAATATGTAAAAACATATGATGCCATTAGTCTATTTCAACTCTAGATGTTGTATGGGTCATATTGTTAATTTCATTCAAAAAATTGTTTCAGCTTTTACAGGCTTAGGTATAGGGTATGATATCATAGATATCAATCTCAATTTGCCTCAACGAGCAGATTTCACTTGAATAACACCGCTTCCAGGTCCGATCAATTTTCACCTAAGCAAATAATAATTGATGTCATATATCTAAATAAAGCAACATTTCACAAATTCGCTAATAAATGTTACCTCACTGTCGCATTCACATAAATTTAGCAGTTAGTATAAGTGAGAAATAACTCAAGAACGTTTTGAAAACCGGTGACATTTATTGAAAAATATCACCAACATCATAATAACTAATTGAATTTCTCAAAATATCGCCAAACATTGTCAACGATAACCGAGTCTGTAATTACTAAAACTGCCGGCATCGAGGAATATCTGTTAAAATACTCATTCCTTCGGGGTTCAACGTCCTGCGAAGTAAATTCGTGCAGTGGTTGTTGCAACTTGGCGAGCGGACAAGTAATTTCCACAACATTAGTATACCCACATCAATAGTTGTTTTTCAAAGAGAAATCGACGAAATGTTCCCATCGAATTAAAATTTCACCGAAACATCGCGAAAAAGAATGCAACCACTGTGTAAAAATAAATAAGAATGCAGATGGACCGAAAAATCTTCGTCCGTTGCTCTTTAAGCCATAAATTTTTTGGCAACTTATTATGGTATCGGGACGAAAATAAAATTAACGATGGAAACAACAAGGTAACGAGCAGGAAATCGTGTATCTATTCAGTCGTGTTGTCACCTAGATTTTGGCCCAGTTAATTAATTTACGAAAAATTAATTACAATTGAAAGTAACCTATGATCCTACACTTGAAGTAGTATAATTACGGTAACTCGTCCTTGCTAGGACAAAGTTTTTTTCTCACGATTAAAATCGCATTCTTGGCGTTTTATTACCGGAAGGAATGTGGCCAATTACTTGCGAAAAATCCAGTTTCACTCTCAAATTAAATATTGAATTTTCGGTGATGTAAATAAGAAATAACTGCGTAATCCTTACAAAAACCTACAACCTGCATAGCCGTTCCCAAAAAGGAAGCGGAGCCCCTCCTACTTTACAACGAAGTAGGCTACATGAGCAAAACATCTGATTGTAAAAATTTTGTAAAAATCGAATATCACGACTTTTCTCAAAACAAATCGCACGTGCCTTGTTTCCGGCTTGTGGGCACGAAATGCCTCATCCGGTCCATGTCGGATCATACAATATGAAAAAAAAAACACACGAAAATGTAATTAAGATGAAAATAGTAAGACCACGACAATTTATTTATAGATGTAAGCTAAAGATATGCACGAATGAGATTTCAGTCTCGTCTTGCCGACTTCTTCCGGTGGTTAATAATGGGGTTGAAAAGTCTCACCTTTGCGGATAATAATCCCAAAAAGACACTTTCACTCAAAGACACTTCAACCACTTTATAGGAACTCGGGGTTTAAAAAGGAACGATTTTTCCAAACGGCTTAACATTAAATTATGTTGGGGTGATACGAGTTTTTGGACGGAGTTGACACTGATAGATTTTTTTTCGCGTGATTGTTGATACGAATTTGCGAGGATTGGCGTGATACTACATTTATCAACATCACATCACTGGATGCGTGACATCACTGCTGTATAAGGTACCTACTGAAATACAGACAATAACAATAATAGCACAAATCCATAAGAGTTCACATATCTTAGAGACATCTAGTGAGCTTAGTTTTGGATTTAAGATGAGTTTTAACGGTGGGAGTCATCTAGTGGCGAAGGGGAGAAATCGATGAATTAGCTTAGTGGGGAGCTGTACTATTCACATTAATTAAGGCGGCAAGTGTACAAAATTTCGATTTGAAAATTGGAGCTTTGGATTTTATTTTTATTAAATGAGTCAGGATATAGAAGTAGTAAATAACTAACGCAAATAAATATAAATAAAGATGGAATATTGTAAACATCAGTTTTGTATTCTATTGTAACAAAAATAAATAAAAGAAATTACCGGCTTGATATTACACAAATTAAAAGATGATACATTTATTTTTACTACTTAACAATTATCGTACATCTTACTTTAAAGTTTAAAAATATTTTTATCAAACAAACAGCACAAAAAATTATAAAAATTTTTCGAAAAGCTAATTAATTAAGTACTTAACAGAAATGTATAAGAAAACAATCAAAAAAGATCTTTTAATGATGTCTGCATTTTCTTCTCAGCATAAAGTAAGAGAAATGTTTTGCTACTAAAATAGCTACTTTAAGGATGCTTTCTTTGACGCACATTTTCTCTTTATGCCTTACTTTAACACCATAGTACAAAATCAACTACATATAAATATCTATTTTTTGTTAAAAAAACCTATTTGGGTAAGCATACTTCAGTTAAGATCGACAAAATCATACAAAAACATACCTACAAATAAAATCAAGATAAGACGTAATTATTAGAATATTTGAAGCCTGATTTCCGACATAACACAATATTTTTTGTATTAAAAAAAAGAGCAAATAAAAGAAAATAACCTAATAATGAAAAATTATGAATCTTTCAAAATCCTTGATTCCCTCTAAACATACCATTTCATAAAACACTTGTTAAAATTTAAGTTTAAGATATTTTGGTACAACTTGAATATTTTGGTAGTTATCTCTATGTCCAAAAAATAAAGTACTGGAGAAGTTTATATTCCTATCTGTATAAAACAATTCAAACTTTGAAAATAAAACATTAAATAGTTTTAAAGTGTGTAATGTTTTTAAAAAATTAAAATTAATTTAAGTGAGTTTCTATTTCCTATTTAACTGTAAATATAACGAAGATTTTAAACAAGGCAACAACACTGCTTATCATAAAATGACTTTGTAAAAGATAACACTAAGGTAAAATAAAATAGCATTGTACTTACATACTTTAAAAATTTAATCGGGTGGGTAATAAATCTTTAAGCAGCATAAAAATATATTTAAATATTAAAATTGCTACCGTAATCTGAATCAAGGTTCCAATTATACTTTATTAAAAAGTAAACAAAGATAGCTTCGGGGTTTTCACTTTATTTTTTGAACCAAATTAGACGCTTCTTGGCATGATGGATATATTTGTCGGATTTAATAAGAACTTTGCTGCTGAGGTATAATTTATTATTTTAATTTTTGATACATTAATTTTACCACCCACACACTAAAAGTTAATTACAGTTTTTTGTGATTTTCATGTACGACAAAGATAAGAAAATCTTTTTTCTCGTTTTTATCCCTAATCCCTATTTAACAATTTCGAAACATAATTATTCATCTAAGTATACTTTAATGAATGAGTAAAATTTAACAAAGAACAACTTTCATCTCTTAATAATTTAGTAAATGCAGATTAATGCCACGCGTTTTTCGTAATCATTTAAACACACATAATAACACCTCGAATACGCAAAAGATGACTCAACACAGATATTGAAACTACAACCTCACGTAGTAAAATTTCAAATTTTTCATTCAAAAATATTACTTACAGCATCACATTTTCATATGGACATCACTCAGTTTTATGTCAGGAAAGTCTGACGCTTACTTATAGCTTCCGATATGAGTTCAATGTCCCAATAATCAACTTTTATAATAATTCATGCATGCATCATGTACCATATGTAAATACTAACACTGCATTATGCATTTGGAGTTTGATACCGCAATTATCGTGAGGTATCATCCTCGAAAAGGCGCAAATCCTGACCTCACCTTCCTTCTATGCCTTCTTTCAAATATTATAACTTATTATATAACTTATTCATTTTCTTGATAGTATCACTTCTCGGTACGCTTTATGTAATAAAGTTATGACACACAGGTGTAAAAATTCTTGTAGTGTATTATAGGTTTTATAACAAATAGCAAGTCCGAAATGTTTTGATTTGTATTGTATGCAATAAAAATCAACTATAAAACGTAGGTATGCGCAACATCGTATGTAAATATCGCTTCGAACTGTTAATACCACTGTTGTAGCACACACCTTTGAAGAAATAACCTTAGTTGATGGCTTACTTGGAATAATAATTCATTCATAAAACTCGATGACGCATTGATAGCTTTTAAATATATAATTTAATGCTAACTATGTAAGATCATCGACTCTTCTTATTTTAATCTCAGATTACATGGTAAAACGTGGAGAATATAAATGATTGTGGCAAAGTTTGCGGCAATTTAATACTCGTCTCAGATACTTGTAAACAAAACTATTACAAAATTTAAGCATTTGCGAGAGAATCAATTTTTTTAAAATTTGTACTCACAAGTATGTACTTATTATAATTAGGTATTAAAATTCATCCAATTCAATATTCAAATTGCGTTTCTTAGAATTATTACGACATGTCTCCAATCACGCCAAGGAAACGAGACTTTAATGCAAATTTTATCTTTGCCCATCTCACAAGAAAATTTGGTTGTGACCTCCAGTATCTAGTTTAATTTTGCAAAAGATACCGATTTATTATTAATTATTCAAATAAACACAAATCGATATGTATATTTGTATATAAAATTCCACTGAATCAGGATTTGCATGAATGTTCTAAACTAAAACTCTAAAAAGTAATTAAACATAAATTTAACAATAGGATTTTACATTTTCTAAAAACCGATTTATACTAGTTTTACGACCTAATTTCAAATCTATGGAACAATAAAACTCTTTCCTTTGTTGTCAAAAAAAATGTCATTCTTGACCCTCCTCCATTAAATCATTTTGTATGTACCTTGTCAAACTAAACCGTTATACTTTCCCTCTTCTTTAAGATTATTATTTTTTTACAGTTACTTGCACACAATAATTTAAAAAATGTATACCTTATTTTATAAGTTGTAGAATTATTACATTCAAGACTTGTAATGAACTAACATGAAGTAAACTTAAACAAAAATATGCATAGGCACTTCATTAAATAATAATTTGAAAAAAGATAAGTACGATGATTTTATGAAAATTGACTGAAAATAGATATAAATTTTCAATATTACTAGTCTTCTTCTTCTTGGATCTTCTTGGTATGGAAACGATGAACAAAAACACGAGTTTTATTCTCACCTGAGGATGACCACTTTGTGGTCGAAACGCGTTGTGCTATTAAAATAAAAGTTTGGTGTGACGGGCTAATCGTGTTTTTGTTCAATATTACTAGTCTACTCAAAAAATCTTGTATTTCAACTCGATATTAGAAATGTCAATTTATGGAACAAGTGGATGGCATTTCCTTCAACTGGTTTACAAATAGGTAATTAAAATAATAGAAACTAAAGATTAATCAAACTTTGATATTGTAACATAAAAACAAGTACATCATGGTTGAAGAAGTAAAAAGTAGTATGTATATTAATTATTTAATATGGTTATTTTCATATTCGTACCTATTTATTAAATTATACAGTATTCCAAATGAAAACATATAACTATGTATGTGTATGTATGTACATAAGTTGCTGTAAACTTATGACTTCAGCCAGCTTTTCTGGCAAACACCTTTTACGAATTACTTTTTTGATGTTTTATGTTTTATATGAAACAGATTTTAAGTATATTTTCAAGATTTAGGAAATAAAGTCTAATGGATGAAAAAATATTATTACATCAATAATACGCTTTGATATTTTTTTACAATTAATCCTACAACTAATTTCTAGAAGAAATATTATGTTATAAAACTTCAGCTACAACACTAGCTAAAATCAACAGAAATGTAAGTAGGTAGTTCATTTATGTAAAAATATATCTGGAAGACTGCTGTTGACTGCTCTTTATCAAAATAAATAATTTGGCATCCGTTTATGAAGGATCATACAAGTGTTGAAGTGTTAATAAAAATGATGTTCAATAAAATTCCTTCCGTAAAGCAAAGGTCGTGTGAATGAACTTCGAATTTTTATTTGTTGCAAGTTTACCAACGGTAGTGGCATTTTATAGCTTTGAAATTAAGTCTACCTTTATGGTGCGATCAACACTATCATTAAAAGTCCCTCAGCTACTGAACAATAGAATTGAAAGAAGTTTCTCTTCGGCGCGACTTCATTTTTAGCATGTCGCAAGCGATGTGAACAAATCAAAGTGACATTTAAGAGCTCGTAAAGATATTATTGACACAAAAAATTCGACTGGAACAGATTAAAATCATCGGAGTCACTCCCCATAAAAGGAGATTAATTAAAATCTGATAAACCCGCTGTCATTCATTAAGCGCTAAGTTATTCATCGATTTATTAAATCGCCAGACGAGTTCCTTTGAAGTACTTACTTATCTACCCTCGTGTCGGATGACACAGGTGAAGTGCGTGAAGCTAAAGAATGACATTTTATATTCTGAATACCAAAATTTCACGCTCCGAGACGCCCTAAATCTTCTCCTGCCAACACCAAACACGTTCCGCTTTGCGCTTTGGTCAAAAAGTCCGCATTTTCTACCTGATCTGTAGCCTCTTTGGCAAATTCGCCCCGTATTTAGCATATTTAGATTAGAACGGTATGTAAACAAATCGTTTGGCGAATCGACATGACGTTTATTTCAGTTTTAACCAACGCATCTACTTTGTCTGTTACCAGTTGGCGGCGAGTCGTCTTCACGAAAGGACGTGGAGAACATCGCTGTAAAGTCGCGTGTGGTGATGCTTTTTTTTTAATATTATTACGATTTAAAGGTCAGTATATAAATAAGTCGCTTCGAAATTTTATTTCTGATGTTTGGTGTCACGTGGAAATAATTGTTAGCAGCCTTGCAGAACAATTATACTCTTTTCTACAAGGTTGATTTGTCGCGAATTAATTTTTGCAAACAGTCAATGAATTCTATTGAAATATTACGCAACTTTACTGTAACATAATTACATAGTACATATTTAACGTTTTGGGACTGGTAACCTTGAGTTAAAAATTGTAAAAATTGCTGCCACGCTAATTTAACATTTCTTATCGATATCTTGCAAGTCATTACAAGAGAATGAATGCTCACTCATTATGATACACCAAACACTAAAAGTGTTTGTTTATTTTTCTATTGCTTCAATTAACCTCCAGTTATTGACGATTTGATCTTCTGATACTAAACCATTAATTAAGCACTGGCTCACTTATAACCACCGTTTTTTTATTCCAGCTTCAGTATTCCCCCGGTGCCATCCAAACCCACAAAGCCAGTATTTTAGTGTGAATGCGAAAGTTCTAATTTCGACATAAAGTAGTTAAAATAAATAAACACTGTGTATGTGCTACCAGAAAAATAAACGAAGTGTGCAGTGTTACAAACACCCGTCATGGATATCACTAAAGAATACTACAATCCGAATCCCCGAGAGAAAGCGAATTTTCTCTCGGTGATGTTTTTCACGTAAGTCACAAATTTTTCAGACAAGTCTTGGAGTCGAGCCAAAAACTTCCGGCATTTCATTACAGAATTTTAGTTTCGGTGTGTGAAAACGCGCCTAATTGCAAGGACTTTCTTGACAAAGACCAAATTTTGTCTATTTTTGACTCTTTCGCCTGTATAAACAAATGGCAAAATTGGTCAACAGATGTTCACGATTATCCGACGTGTGATTGATGTTTTTCAGAAGGAAAACAGTGGGGTTTCGACAGGACCCTCGAATGTATGGACGATTTAAATTTTTTACCAGAGTTATCTCATAACTGTGAATAACCTTGAACGTAATCGTGTATCCAGTATTTGCTCTGTTATCTGGTGGACTTTTTAAAAAAATAAATTATAACACTTTCGTAAATATTTAATATCAGTACGAACGCGTCAAATTGCAAATTATATATACATGCGTGGTTTGGTTACATTTTTATTGATTATTTGCTGTTATCTGAAGAGGCTAGAAGATAGGTGTATGCAGGCAGGAGTGGAAAAATTGTGGAGAAAAATTGTATTATTTATTATTTTCGATACAATAAATTATAGTCGGATCAAAGATACATCCATGAAAAGATCCATTCATTTACAAATTGGTCGATTTGGTTCGTTAGGTACTATTGTTATGTTAAAGTAAATCCCTGTCATTAGTATCATGGGATTTGGTTAAACTGTGTGTCTATTTACATGTTACACATGAATGAGTTGCATAATAACAGTGCAAAGACCCAAAACAACTGGCACTCATTTTAATTTCTAAAATAACACACAATTTAAGAGAAAAAATACATTCAGATCAAAATAAATTTCGACTGTTAAAAAATTTGGGAGTTATTTTATTACTTCCAAGTTGAGAAATATTTGAAATTCCTACTAAAAATAATGAATTGATCAAGGCTCTTTTAAATTTTCAGATAATCCAAAATTTATACGTACCCAGAACATCCCATAAAGAAAAATAGAAAGTGCGCATGGTTTATTAATTTTTTGATTTAATATTTTTTTTTTTAGATTAAACGTACATACCTAAATAGCACTAGTTTCAGATTGTTATGGGTAGTCTATGACAAATTCCTAAATGCTATTTTGTCTTTTTTGCTTTTTGTCTTTTACTACTTATTATTAATGAAAAAATCAACACAGTGATATTTTACAGTGATGAATCTAATAAGATATAGGGTAGAAAAATAGATAAAATAATCATCCTTACCCTTTCACATGACTTTTTCAAATCCAACAGCAGTATTTATTCTCGTTGAAAAAGAAAGAAAATGCATATTATTATATACGTGTTATATAATTAGTTACTAATCGAGGAAAAGTGCTTTTTTCATAAAAAAAAACACATAAAAACGCGCTATAAAATTACACTAACAAAGAGATAAGAATATGTAAATTTAGATAAAAAAAGAATATTTCGTTGTTCGTTTAGCACAATTTTTTTTTTTTTAATGAAAGACTAGTTAGTATTTAATTGATTAATAAGGGTCTAATTAATAAGTTTACTACACAATTTTCTATTACGAAAATAATGACCAAATTACGAATCTATTTTAGAAAACTTAAAAATGTACCTACATAAAGTCACTTATAGTTTTTTTGAATGAATTTAAAAAATAGTACAAATTTAAGACCAATCATTCTACAGAATTTACAGGTATATGACATTAATAACGTTAATTAACAAGTTATAGTCAATTGTTTGTAGATACAAAAATTTAAAATTCTGTTTCCAAATAATAAATTACCTTGATTATTTTTTTACCATTACACAAAAATAGTTTTAATGTGGATAACGGTGAACCATCTGGGCGTAAATATTTACATAAACAATTCTCACCTTCCCTTTCAACAAATTGCAAGCACAGAACTGCAAGCATAATTTTTTCCTTCCTCCTCCAGTTACACCATTGACATGTTCAAGAAAGGCTACAGTAAAACCCTTGACGTTGATGACCTCTACAGCCCCATCGAAAGTGACAGAAGTACGCTATTGGGCGATAGACTCGAGAGGTGAGGATTGAAACATTACCCCGCGTGCTGATAATCATATTCCATAGATAACCGTCTCGATTTCACGCAGATGTTTAAAACAGTTCATATTTTTTCCAGCAAATGGAACAAGCACATGGACAGCATAAAAAAATCGAAGAAAAAGCGTCAACCGAGTTTGCTCAAGGTGCTCGTGGCCACCTTCTGGCCCGAGTACCTCCTTCTAGGTGTAATTTTAGTCATAATGGATTTATGCGTGAGATTAAGTCAGCCTATCATGTTGGGGAGACTCCTGGACCATTTCAAACCCAACAGCGATGTTGATAAGAATGCAGCTCTGTGGTACGCCGGAGGTATTGTGGCATTAAATGCCATGAGTGCGTTACTCATTAATCAGTACATCATGAGGGCATTCCATTACGGGATGAAGGTTCGAGCGGCTTGTTGCGCTCTTATTTACAGAAAGGTAAAGATTTCGACACGCTGGGTGGCCACGACACGTTTGTTTTGACTAGATTTAAATAAATTCAAGACGGTGTTTATAGGCCGAATGAATTAAATAGTTTTGAATTTAATCAAATCAGTTCCGAAATTAATGCGAAATGTAAAATATAATCCTGAAAAAGAAACGCAAGAGTTTGTAGATACTAAAATGGTCCGAATTAAATAAAATTTTGAGATCATACAGAAATCTTGGTTCTAATCCAGTTTTTCAGACTACTCAGACACTGATGGTTCTCAAAAATCTCAAAATATATAATAATTTTTTTCTTTATGTTTTCAAATTGTGCAACTGATATACTGATTTTTAAACTGAATTAACTACCAGACAAATTCTTTCTCCAGGCCCTCCGCCTGAGCAAAACGGCCTTAGCCGACACCGCTTCCGGCAAAGTAGTAAATCTCCTCTCGAACGACGTAAGCCGCTTCGACATCGTTTCCGTCGTGATCCACCACATGTGGGTAGCACCAACATCAGCTATAATCGTAGCTTACCTTCTTTATGACGCAGCTGGTTACGCTGGCCTCATCGGAATAGCCCCAGTCTTCCTCGTAGTACCTTTACAAAGTAACTCAAAATCCAGCTCCACTCTATCGTTATAACGCTAATTAATTTCAGGTTACACCGGCAAACTTTCCGCGATTTACCGAAAGAAAACGGCACAAAAAACCGACGAAAGGGTCCGACTTATGGACGAAATCATCTCCGGAGTCCAAGTGATCAAAATGTACGCTTGGGAAATCCCCTTCGCCAAACTTATCCGAATTGCGCGCAAGGCTGAACTAAGAATTGTGATGAAATCGTCTTATGTGCGAGGCCTTTACATGACTTTTAATTTATTTACGACCCGAGCGGCCCTTTTTTGTACTTTATTGTGTTTGGCCTTAACCAATGACGATATAACTGCATCTCGAGTTTTCGTTTTTATGTCATATTACAACATTTTGGCCCAAACTATGTCAAGTATGTTTGTGCGAGGAATTTCAGAAGTGGCCGAAGCCCTTGTTGCCATCAAACGTCTCCAAAGTTTCATGACAAACGAGGAGTTCGTCAAAGTCAAACATCTCGAAGACAGAAACGATAACAAAATCAACTCTGATAAGACTCGACTCGCTTTGCGTAACGTTTGTACCAAATGGAACGTTTCCTCTTCTGATAACACCCTGTCCAACATCAATATCAGCATAAATCAGGGAAAATTATTAGCAGTCATTGGCCCCGTCGGTAGCGGCAAAAGCTCACTACTTCAGACAATCTTAGGCGAGTTGGAAGTCACCTCAGGTGATCTACATATCAACGGATCAATTTCCTACGCGTCGCAAGACCCCTGGGTCTTTGCCGCGACTGTACGACAAAATATCACTTTCGGTCTAGAATTTAACAAGAAGAGATACAACGAAGTCGTGCATGCTTGTGCTTTGGAAAAAGACTTCAAGCAGTTTCCCGATGGCGATTTGACCATTGTCGGAGATCGAGGAGCTTCGTTGAGTGGCGGACAGAAAGCGAGGATTAATTTGGCACGTGCTGTTTATCGAGATGCTGACATTTACTTACTCGACGATCCTTTATCGGCTGTTGATATCCATGTATCTAAGCATCTTTACGATCAATGCATCAATGGTTATTTGGCGAACAAGATGAGGATACTTGTCACTCATCAAGTTCATCATTTGAAAAATGCAGACGAAATTATTATCCTAAATAATGTACGTATACAAGCAGCAAAAAACAAATAATATTCATAAACTTTTCCTAAAATCCTTATTTACGCAAAAATAGCTGACTTAAGCACGCGGTAGATTCCAAGATACGTCTGCACCTTTCCTACATTTTAATACTAATCATTTTTTATCTTTTACTACAATGTTGCGATTATAGGGCGCCATCGAGAACAAAGGAACCTTTGAAAATCTAGCCAACAGTGACACCATATACGCTAGACTGCTGACAACAGAACCAGAACACACGGCAGAAGAAAAACAAAAGATGTTCGAAGCGGCTAAACTGACTCGCCAAATCTCGATTCGAGTAACTCCCACCTCTTTGAACCTTCCCGAAAAACATTACAATTTATTTCCAGAGCAGAACCTCATCTCTGGCCAGTGCTGTCAGCGACCTAAGCATTCCCGAAAGTATCCTCCAGGAAGAACCTGAAATCAAACTCAAGAGTTTACAAGAAGAATCCTCGAAAGGCAAAGTCCACGGTTCCCTCTTCTTTAAGTATTTATTGGCCGGAGGGAACTTCTGTTTCGTCTCCGTTGTCTTGATTCTATACGTTTTGGCTCAAGCAGCTGCCAGTGGAGTCGACTTTTTCGTTAGTTTTTGGGTCAATATCGAAGAAGCGAGGAATAGTACAAGTAACACAACTGCGATTGGGGAAGTCCCGGACTGGTCAACAGAATTTTGTCTCTATATCTATGGTGGATTCATAGCAGCTGTTTTTATTATAGCTTTTACTAGATCTATGCTGTTCTATAAGTTGGCAATGCTGAGTTCACAGAAATTACACGACACTCTATTCGATTGTGTCATAAACGCCTCAATGAGATTTTTTGACGTTAATCCCAGTGGCCGAATTCTGAACCGATTTTCCAAGGACATAGGGGCCATAGACGAGCTTTTGCCAAAAGCGATACTCGATGCGGGACAGATTATCCTAAACATGGCCGGTGCCTTAATTTTAGTAGCTATAGTAAATCCGTATTTTTTGATAATAGTTGCCATCACTGGAATTTTCTTCATGTTATTAAGAGTAGTATTTCTGAGATCATCGAAAAATATTAAACGACTCGAAGGAATGAGTATGTCGTTTCTTTACTGTAGCCCAAAAATATTTTGTGTTTTTTTTTTTTCAGTGAGAAGTCCTGTATTCACTCACTTGAACGCAACCCTGAATGGCTTGACCACAATTCGGGCCTTCCAAGCCGAAAACATTCTCCGAAACGAATTCGACAAACACCAAGACTACCACACGAGTGCTTGGTTTATGTATATTGCCGCAAGTTCGGCTTTCGGCTTCTATTTGGACTTTCTTTGTTTCATTTTTGTCGCTTTGGTCACTTTCAGTTTCCTCACGTTTGGCGACAGTACGCCTCTATGTAATTTTTAAATCCCGTATTAATTCTTTCTTTGTAGGTTTTGGACTAAAAGGAGGTGAAGTGGGCCTGGCCATAACCCAATCAGCTGCTCTCACAGGTTTAGTCCAATGGGGGATGCGTCAATCAGCCGAAGTCGCAAACCAATTAATGTCAGTGGAACGAGTCATGGAGTATAAGGACTTACCCAAAGAAAAACAACCCCAACAACCGAAAACACCCCCGAAATCATGGCCGGCTCACGGCAAAATCACCTTCACTGACATGGGATTGAAATATGACGAAAAGGCACCCCTGGTGCTCAAAGATCTCAACATTACAATTAATCCCAAAGAAAAAGTTGGGATTGTTGGGCGAACCGGTGCGGGTAAATCGTCCCTAATTTCGGCTCTGTTTCGCCTTGCTAACGTCATCGGGGAGATTGATATTGACGATATCGACACGAAACATTTGCAACTGCAGGTTTTGAGGTCCAAAATTTCCATAATTCCCCAAGATCCGGTCCTGTTTTCGGGGACTTTAAGGTACAACCTCGATCCGTTTGAGGATTACCCTGACGAGGTCCTGTACAAAGCCTTAAATGAGGTGGAGTTGAAAGATCCTGCGAATATTATTAATAGATTGGAGAATAGGGTCATGGATCGGGGATCGAATTATAGTGTCGGACAGAGGCAGCTGATATGTCTTGCAAGAGCTATAATCAGGAATAATAAAATTTTGATGCTGGACGAGGCCACCGCCAATGTTGATCCACAGTAAGTCAAGTGTGTTTTTTTTCTTTTTATAACTGAATGTTTTCAGAACTGATGCACTTATCCAAAAAACAATCAGGGAAAAGTTCGCCGATTGCACAGTTTTGACTGTAGCCCATCGTCTCAATACCATCATGGATTCTGATAAGGTTCTAGTGATGGAGAGTGGTACTATGGTCGAGTTTGACCACCCCCATGTCCTCCTCCAGAACTCTTCAAGCAAATTTAGCAAGATGGTGGCAGAAACCGGGAGATCAATGTCCGAACAACTCCGGAAGGTTGCGAGGAGTAGTTACCTGAAGAAACACTCCGTCCCTGAATGATCTGTTTCCGTGACTTAAACGCATTTTTAATTATGTATAACGAAAATAGCTGGTATTTTTATATTTTCTTTAGGACCTCTTGGTGTCACACTATTATTATTAGTGTGTTATTTAGTATTTCTTTGTGTTCCTGTTTAGAATTGTTTTACTTAAGGCCCAACTGATATTTTCATCTTTAGTTACTTAATGTTTTATTTTTAATTACTTAAGTTAGGGTAAGTAAAAGGCTGTGTTTCTTGCCTTGTGTACACCAAAGCGGCTGAAAATCGGTGCCAAACGTGGTGCTCTTATCAAAATGTACATAATATTTTAAATATATTTTTTACCACGAAAAACAGGCTTTTTTCATTAGTTGATAATGTTGCCTGAAAAGTCAATACCCCCAGATTATGAGGTCAAAGATGAAATTCTTGCAACATATTATGACTTGAAGAAAATCAAATGTTCAATAATGAGACGAGAGTTTAATCCAAGTTCTAGTTCACCTCATGACTCTCAAAAACGCTAGACTTCTATTTACTTAACATTGAAGATAACTCTTCAACAAAAATGCTATTCATTAGTACAAATATTTATCTGTGTTTTTATAGTACTACAGTGATTAACGTGAAATAAAGCCCGTGCGGAAATCCTTTTACTGCATTTTAACGCTTTTTATCACGTTTTTGTACGAGTAAAAAGTGCCAGAATGGACGCTGGTTATACTTTAACGCTTGAAAATCCCAAACGAAAGGCAAACATCATCTCAAAACTGTTTTTCCTGTAAGTACTAAACCGGTTTTTGCCACTCCTTGTAACATTTTCCAGATGGATGGTAAAACTGTGTTACAAAGGGACCAAAAAAGGCCTCGAAATCGCCGACTTGTACAAAACATTATCGAGCGACCAGTCCGAAAAACTCACCGATGAATTGGAAAAACATTGGAATGAAGAAGTCGAGAGAAATAAACTGAAACTTCAAAAACCTCCAAGTCTGACACGAGCAATTGTCAAAACTTTTCTCTGGAAATATATGGGATTTGGGATTTTGTTGTTTATCCAAAATATTGTTTTCCGAGCGTTCCAACCAGTCGTTCTGGCCTATTTTATTAATTTATTTCCGGGGGAAGGCAAAGAGAATCAGAATGAAATGTATATTCTTGGGTCAATTCTAGTCATACAATCGTTTTTTATCGTTATCACTATGCACCACATTGATTTAGGGCAAGCCTCAATTGGGATGAGGATTCGAGTAGCTGTCTCGTCACTGATTTATCGAAAAGTAATTTTCGGTCAAAATCACACTTATCATAATAAAATAATAATTATTTTTAGATGTTAAAGCTGAATAAACGGTCTTTAGGGCAAGCATCAGCCGGTCAAGTCGTCAACTTGCTCTCAAACGATGTTAACCGTTTCGATTTTATCACTTTGTCTTTGCACTATCTATGGATAATGCCTTTCCAAGTCGTACTAGTGACTTATTTAATTTGGAGGGAAATGGGAATCTCGACTTTAGCAGGAGTCCTCTCCATGGTGTGCCTCACACTCCCAGTTCAAGGTAAATTGAGTTTTTTTTTTCAAAGTGATAATGAAGACGTTTAGGCTACTTGGGCAAATTGACCTCAAAACTGCGTCTCAAAACGGCCCAAAGAACCGACTATCGTGTCAAACTTATGAATGAAATCATCTCAGGTATACAAATAATCAAAATGTACGCTTGGGAAAAGCCCTTCGAGCACATCATAAAGCTGGCCAGAAAAAACGAAATCGACGTCGTGACCAAAGCCTCATACTTGAGAGGAATTTACTTAAGCTGTATGGTGTTCATAGAACGCACCACTTTATTTCTCACAATCACATGTTATGTACTTTTGGGTAACCCAATAACCGCCGATAAAGTCTTCTCGATCGCCCAATTTTACAACATTTTGCAACTAGCTTTGGCCATTTGTTACCCAATGGCTATCACATTCGGGGCTGAAACTTTAGTCTCAATCAAACGTCTCCGCAATTTCCTAGTTTTGGAGGAAAAACCAGAATCGCAAATCGAGAAAAAAAGCGAGCAAGACATTGAATTTGATAACACAAGTGGTGCATGGAACACCGACTCTTTGACCATCAAAAATTTAGATTTGTTCATCCCTCAAGGAACTCTATGTGCTATAGTGGGCCCTGTCGGAGCTGGTAAAACTTCAATCCTACAAATGTTACTGGGAGAGTTGCCTCCAATCACTGGATCAATTAAAGTTGGAGGGAAAATTTCGTATGCGTCACAAGAGCCGTGGCTTTTTGCATCAACTGTCCGAAATAATATTCTTTTTGGTCGGGAGTATGACAGAACTTTGTATAGAGAAGTGGTAAAGGTGTGCGCGTTGGAACAAGACTTCAAGCAGTTTCCTCAAGGTGATAAGACTGTTGTTGGGGAAAGGGGAGTATCGTTAAGTGGAGGACAAAGGGCGAGAATTAATTTAGCAAGGGCTGTATATAAAGGAGGGGATGTTTTCCTCCTTGATGATCCTCTATCGGCTGTTGATACTCACGTCGGGAGGCATCTATTTGAGAAGTGCATTTTGAAGTATTTGGGGAGTAAGACGAGGGTTTTGATTACGCATCAGTTGCAGTATTTGAAGAAAGCGGATCATATTGTGGTCCTCAATGAAGTAAGTTGAAAAAATTTCTTCGGAAAAGAAAGAAATACTTTTTTAGGGAAGAGTCGAAGCACAAGGAAAGTTCCAAGAATTGATCAACAGTGACTTAGATTTTACCAAATTGTTGGCCTCTCAAGACGAGACAGACAAAGAAGAAACTTCCAAGTCACTTGTTGACAGAAAATCGTCCGTTGTTTCAGTCAAAGTAATACAATTTTTGCAAAAAATCTCAATTAGTGATTTAATTCCAGAGTAACATAAGTGAGTCAAGCGAGTTTTTTGAAGCAAGTGAAGATATGGAAGACCTGGATTATTCAAATTCTTCACCTTTCAAAGATTATATTAAAGCTTCAGGGAACTACTGTGCCATTTTCAGCCTACTTTTAGTCCTTTTATTGGGACAATCGGCCTGTAGTGCTGCCGATTATTGGGTCACATTTTGGTATTTTTTTTTCATTAATTCATCACCTTTTGATCGATTTTTAGGACCCAACAGGAGGCCTACAGACACTTGAATTCAACTCAGATCATCCCAAAATCCGAAAACAGTTCCAAAAACTGGCACACACAAATCACTGATGAAATTCTCATCGATAATCAAGAAATTTATTTAATCAAAACCGAAGTCTCGATGTATATCTATGCGGCTATTATTGTAGTTGCAATTTTGTTCACACTTATAAGATCCTTCACTTTCTTCAAAATGGCAATGACAGCTTCGAAAAACTTGCACGGGAAAATGTTTCATGCCCTTTTGCAAGCACCAATGAGATTTTTCGATACGAATCCCAGTGGTCGTGTTTTGAACCGATTTTCTAAGGATATGGGGGCTATTGATGAATTTCTCCCAAGGGTTTTGATTGAAGCCATCCAAATTCTTTTAGTGATGAGCGGGATTCTGGTCATGGTCACTATTGCCAACTATTACATGGTCATAGCAATGGTCATAATCGGGCTTTTGTTTCTTAAAGTCCGGTCCTGGTACGTGGCTACAGCTAAGGATGTTAAACACTTGGAAGGGATCAGTAAGTTAAAATGTGTTTTTTGGCCAAAATCATGGCAGATTGTAGCAAAATCGAATGTTTATTCGCATTTGAACTCATCCTTTAATGGAATCACAACAATTCGTGCTTCTGAAGCCCAGATTATGTTGTCAAAGGAGTTCGATAGACATCAGGATAATCATACCTCGGCCTGGTTTTTAACTATCGCTACAAGAGTCTGTTTCGGTCTATGGCTCGACTTATTGAGTGTCATTTTCGTCATCCTTGTCATCTTTAGTTTCATCATTTTAAATCAATGTAAGTCCAAAAATAGTCCGGAAATCGCTTTATTATCAAACTCTGGTTTCAGACTCTAAAGTGAATGGAAGTTTAGTCGGTTTGGCAATTTCTCAGTCGCTTATTTTGACCGGAATGTTACAATTCGGAATGAGACAAACCGCTGAAGTCGTAAATCAACTCACAAGTGTTGAACGAGTCATGCAATACACGAAACTTGATAGTGAATTCAAAACTGAGGAAACGATTAGTGAAAAACAAGAATCAATTCCTCTTCCATGGCCTAGTAAAGGGTCGATCGAATTCCAGGACCTTTCCTTAAGATATTCCGAGATTGATCCCCCCGTCCTCCGGCATTTGAACATTGCTATAGCTCCGGGAAACAAAATCGGGATTGTTGGGAGGACCGGAGCCGGGAAATCGTCCCTAATTTCGGCCCTTTTCCGGCTTGCACCACTAGAGGGAAAAATTTTGATTGATGGAATTGATACAAAAACTATCGAGTTGAACCGTCTGAGAAAAAAAATCTCGATTATTCCTCAAGCACCCGTTCTTTTTTCGGCAACGCTACGCTATAATTTGAATCCGTTTGGAGAGTTTGATGATAAAAAATTGTGGGATGTTTTGGAACAGGTTTGCTTTTGATGGATTTGTTTCTCGGGGCTATAAAATTATCGTAGGTTGAATTGAAAGAAGCCATTCGGCATTTGGACGTTCCAGTGTCCGAGGGCGGGAGCAATTTTAGTCTAGGGCAGAGGCAACTGCTGTGTTTAGCAAGGGCTATCTTGAGGAATAATAAAATTTTGGTTTTGGATGAGGCAACTGCCAATGTGGATCCAAGGTAAAAGACACTCTTGTACAGAAAGTGGACATTTACTGACGGGAAAATTGCGACATAATTTTTTCTCCGTAATTACATTTTTCAGTGCTTGCTAAAATTTTTAATTTTTTTAGGACTGACGCTTTAATTCAAAAAACCATCAGGCAAAAATTCCAYGATTGTACAGTTTTAACCGTCGCTCATCGTTTAAACACCATAATGGATTCAGATAAAGTCCTGGTAATGGATTCTGGGAAAGTAGTGGAATTTGAACATCCCCACTTATTATTACAAGATGAAGATGGATATTTTTCGAAAATGGTAGCAGAAACCGGGCCTGCTATGACGCAACAATTAAAACAAATTGCAAATGATTGTTACTTAAAAAACTTTAAGTAATATGTATTCTTTTTTGTTTTTAATAAACCTATTTATTTTTATATTTAATTCTTTTGCTATAATCGGTAGATAATATTCACCGTTTTGAAACATTCTCTAGCTGACATAAATGCATGTTTAAAATATGAACAGCGTAATATTAAAAAAAAATCCAAGCTTTTAACACTTACTAATATAAAACCGATTTTTGCAATTTTGCAACTGCCTTAAAGAAAACAATAAGTTTTCCTGTCTATAAAGCTTTTTTTCTTAAAGTTAAGAAAAATGTCTTATAAAATTATTTTGAAATCATTTATTTTTTATAATAGAAAATAAAAATTGAATAAAAGTCATTCACAAAAAGAATTTTTATTTTCTTTTCAGAATTTTTAAACATTTTGCATTTTCTAGATACTTTTGTAGAAATAAATAAGTTTGAAGCTTTTTGCTCATAACTAATTTCGCAATGTTGTTAAACTAGAAAACAAGTCCCAATTTTAAAACAAAGCTTTTATCATTCTTGTCCGTTTTATTTACTCTCATGAGTCGAGATATTCTAGTTGGTCATCATAAACCTAATTATTTGAACGATTCATTATTTACAATTGATAATTCAAAACACAACTACTCGTAGAGTAAGAGGCGATAAACTCACATAAACTCTTTAACGCTTGTCCATACCAGAAATGGACAATAATATCAAATTAAAAATTCCCAATCCAAAACAACAAACAGGATTAATATCAAAACTGTTTTTTCTGTAAGTACTTTTCCTTTAAATTAATTATTTTTTTATCAACAGAAAAAAATTATTCAGTTGGATTATTCCTTTGTATCGTAAAATAATTAAAAATGGATTACAAATTTGCGACCTGTGTAAAATTCTGGAAGCGGACGATTCAGAAAAAGTGTGCGACCAACTTGAAGATAATTGGAACAAAGAATTGATTAAAAGCAAATTAAAAAATCGCCAACCAAAATTGCTGAAAGCAATTGGAGCAACTTTCTTTTGGAAATATATGATTTTTGGTGGGATTCTTTTCATACAGCATGTTTTTCTTAGGTAAAAAAAAATATAAAAATTAGAAAATAAAATAAATTTTGTCCAGATCTTTTCAGCCAATCGTTCTATCATATTTAATATCGCTGTTCGGCCAAACTAACCCCAACCACATCGCCATGTACATTTCCTCAGGAATTTTAGTCACAATTTCACTTCTTATCGTCTTGACAATGCACCACGTGAACTTTGGACACGCTTCAATCGGAATGCGGATACGAGTCGCAATTTCCTCTCTTATTTACCGAAAAGTAAGTTAAAATATTGTACTTCTCAAATGAGTTTTTCCCTCCACAGACTTTAAAACTGAACCGGCGGTCACTCAACCAGACCTCAATTGGGCAAATCGTCAACCTCCTTTCAAATGACATCACACGGTTCGACTTAGTGGTCCTCACTTTACACTATCTCTGGATTTTACCATTCCAAGTGTCAATTATAACGTTTTTGTGTTGGTCCCAAATCGGTATTTCGTCTTTGGTGGGAGTTGTCTCAATTGCACTTTTGTCACTGCCTGTGCAAGGCTATTTGGGCAAAATGACATCAAATTATCGGGTCAAAGTGGCGCAAAAAACTGACCACAGAGTCACTCTAATGAACGAAATAGTGTCAGGAATACAAGTCATTAAAATGTACGGATGGGAAAAGCCCTTTGAGAATATTGTCAGATTGGCAAGAAGCCAGGAAGTGAAAGCTTTGACTATAACTTCCTATTTGCGAGGGATTTATTTAAGTGCGATGATTTTCGTCGAAAGGACAGCCCTGTTTTTGACATTGGCTTGTTATGTAATTTCCGGTAACACAATACTGGCCGAACACGTGTTCTCAATTTCGCAATTTTTCAATTTATTGCAATTAACAATGTCGATATTTTACCCGCTTTCCATAAGTTACGGCGCTGAGACTCTTGTGTCAATTGACCGGATCCAAACTTTCCTCCAAATGGAGGAAGTCGAGCCCTCAAAAGTCGACATTGACTTCAACCATGGTGTAACTGTTAATGCTGTTAATTCACAATTCCTCAAAAACATCACTTTCAAAATCCCTCAAGGGTCGCTTTGTGCTGTCGTCGGTCCAGTAGGGTCGGGTAAAACCTCCCTGCTGCACCTTCTCCTCAATGAATCGTCCTYCAAAACCGGCAGAATCATTCTGCAAGGCTCGATTTCTTACGCTTCGCAGGAACCTTGGCTTTTCGCATCGACAATTCGGAAAAACATCCTTTTTGGTAACAAATACGACAGACATACTTACAACAAAGTCGTCAAAGTTTGTGCTTTGAAAAAAGACTTCGACCAGTTTCTCCTTGCTGACAAGACCCTAGTAGGTGAGAGAGGATCAGCGTTGAGTGGAGGGCAAAGAGCTAGGGTTAACCTAGCCCGGGCTGTGTATAAGGACGCCGATATTTACCTCCTCGACGACCCTTTATCCGCAGTTGACAGCCATGTAGCTAACCACTTGTTTGAGCAGTGTATTGTCAAGTATTTGAAGGGCAAAACTAGGATTTTGGTCACTCACCAATTGCAGTTTTTAAAACGCGTTGACCATATTTTAGTTTTCAAAAACGGGCAAATTGAAGCACAAGGAACTTACGCGGAGTTAAGTCACTCAAATTTGAATTTTCCGACAGGACACAAAGATGAAGAGGTTGCAAAAGTAGACAGCGAATTGCATACATTGAGCGATGTGAGTTTTTTTGAGGTTTTTTAGGCCTGATTTTAATTTTTTACAGAGTTTCATGCTTGAATCCACGAATTACAAAAATGAAATTGAGGAAATAGAAAGTACAGGAATGTCAGAAGGGGCAACCTCTCTAATTGAGTACATAATAGCCTCAGGCACCGCCTTTCAGATTTTTCTCGTGTCTTCGACTTTGATTATTTGTCAAACATTGTGTAGTGGTACCGACTACTGGGTCACCTTTTGGACACAACAGGAGGCCCTCCGAAATGAAAATTTCACAGTTAATGAGACCTTTACAATTCCGGTGACGCAAACTGTTGAAATTTTTCCTCACAGTGACAGTTTAGACGACTCTTATTCTTACACATACAATCTCGAAGAACAAGTAACCAAAGAAGTGACAGTTGACAAAGCCGTTATCAAAACCAATACCGCTCTTTATGTTTATTTAGTTTTAATCGTAATTCTGATTGCTATCACGTTCCTACGATCGATTTTATATTTCACTCTAGCAATGAAAGCATCCAAAAACCTCCATAATAACATGTTTACCACCCTCCTAAAGGCACAAATGAAATTTTTTAATAGCAACCCTAGTGGTCGCATTTTAAACCGATTTTCGAAAGACATGGGAGCCATAGATGAGATTTTACCAAAAGTTTTACTCGAAGCAATTCAAATTACGTTGACCATGTGTGGTATTTTGGTCATGGTGATAATTTCAAATCAATACATGATTCCAGTTGTAATTCTTCTAGGAGTAGTTTTTTTGAAAATACGATCGTGGTTTGTCATCACGACAAAAAATATCAAACATTTAGAAGGAACAAGTAAGTAATATTGTGACTCGTATGACGGTAAGAGAATTGTTTCTTTTATAGCCAAATCACCGGTTTTTTCCCATATGAATTCAAGCTTGTATGGGATCACGACGATAAGGGCTTGCGGGGCTGAGGACATGCTAAAAAAAGAGTTTGATCGACATCAGGTTATTTCCAGTTTAGGGTAAAAAAAAATAACAAAAAAATTAATTTTAGGACGTACACACTTCGTCTTGGTTTCTCTTAATTACAACAACTTCGTCATTTGGATTATGGCTAGATTTAGTATGCGTGGCTTTTATAGCTTTTACTTCCTACAGTTTTATTCTACTGAATCACTGTAAGTATCTATTCCAATTGACAGCACAATATTTTAGAGTTGTCTGTTATTTTCACTTTGTTTGTTTAATATAATTTAATATTTTCTATGGTAAAAAAAGTACATAAAAATAATGATAAAATTGTTAAAATGACAACAAAGCAAAGTATCAAACAAGGGCAAAAAACTGACTTTCTGCCCCAATAATTCTTCTCTCGAGATTACCAGATTAGTGGCAGTCTCGTCGGCCTGGCCATCTCCCAATCGCTYATTCTCACCGGAATGCTCCAATACGGAGTCCGGCAAAGTGCGGAAGTCGTCAACCAACTCACTTCCGTCGAACGAATCCTGCAGTATTCCGAAATCGAAAAAGAAGGACCTTTCAACACTCCTCCCGGTAATTATCTCCCTCCAAATCACACGCAAACATTAATTAACATTTATAGAACATCGACCACCACCGTCATGGCCCGATAAGGGCCACATTGAGCTCCAAGACCTATCTCTACACTACTCCCCAACCAAACCTCCGGTTTTGAAAAATATAACCGTGACAATCGCCCCGGGCCAGAAAATCGGGATTGTGGGACGWACCGGTGCCGGAAAATCGTCTCTAATAGCGGCGCTTTTCAGGTTGAGTGACATTACCGGGAGAATTTACATTGATGGGATCGATACGAAAAAGTTGGGGGTGCACGATTTGAGGAAGAAAATTTCGATCATTCCGCAAGTGCCGGTGCTGTTTTCGTCGACTGTGAGGTACAATTTGGATCCTTTTGGAGAGTTTGAGGATGCGAAAATTTGGAAAGTTTTAGAAGAAGTGGAATTGAAGGATTTAGTGACGAGTCTCGATGCGGAGGTTGCCAGAGATGGAGGAAATTTTAGTGTAGGACAAAGGCAATTGATTTGTCTCGCGAGGGCGATTTTAAAAAATAATAAAATATTGGTGATGGATGAGGCTACGGCCAATACGGACGATAAGTGAGTTTCAAAGAAAAATTAGTAGGTAGGTGAAATTTGTAATTTTAGGACTGATGCTCTGATTCAAAAAATGATCCGGAAAAGATTCAAATCGTGTACTGTGATAACAGTTGCTCACAGACTCCACACTGTGATGGATTCGGATGGGATTATTGTGATGGATGATGGTAGAATAGTAGAATTTGATCATCCCTATAATCTTTTACAAAGACCGGAAACGACTTTTTATAAAATGGTCTTGGAAACGGGGCTAGAGACAAGTGCTTACTTAGAAGATATAGCCCTTGATGCATTTCTCAATAAGCAATCAATATCAAAACCCAAGGATAAGTAATGTATAAGATAGGCAAATAAAAATGTATCCTTTCCTTGTCTTTTTTATTTCCAAACAAGATAATACATTTAGTTTCATTTAAAAAATTATGAGAAATCTTTCTAAACTCTACGCCTACATTAAATGTGACAAATCGTCAACATTTGGAGGCTGCATCTGATCCGATTTTTTGTTTTGATTTTGTTGAAACGCATTTTTCTGAACTACTGCCACTGGTGGCTGATTACCTTGGATTAACTTTTGCGTCGTAATCATTTTTTGCTGACTGATTGTACTCGTGTTTGAGACAAATTTAACGACTGTGTTTTGTTGCGGTTGGGAGGAGGGCTGGACGGAGCCTCCCGGAGTTGGAGGACGTTGCGTCACAAATAAAATTTTTTGGTTGTTTATTTGGTTGGTCACTCGCCCTGACTGGTTCATTACAATCGTGCGCTGAGGGCCGGTGTTCTGTCACAATAAAAAGCCATAAAAAACTCAACAACTGCCTCAGCTGTTTTTGAATTATATTGCAAATAATTTTCGAAAAACGAATATCAAAATTATGATCCCTTGGAGCCCCCTTTTTCCACTTACCTGTTGTATAATCTGACACGGCTGAGTCATAGTCCTCGTAATAGTCGCACCGACATTCGTCAACGACGAGGGAATGTTGCAGGCTGTCGTCGTCGAGGGCGTCGGTTGCGTCCTTGCCTTCACCACGGCGGCATGCAGCGCGGGCCCCAAATACCCAAACTCTTGCTTATACTCCTCTACATAATCTGGTGGATTCTTCAAATTTTTCAGAACCGGGGCCACGACTTTAATTAACAATTGCTTAATGTGCTCAGATGCGATTTTGTCAATATTGGAAGTGGTTGGCCCTTGAAGGTGCATCTCAATTCGAGCCCCGATCGATTTTAATCGTGGTATTATAAAAATTCGGATTACTTCTGCTCCCAGTTCCGAGAGACCTTCAAGAGCGCCATAGAGGGACGAAAGTGGGACTTTGTCGCCCTGTTGGAGCGCATTTGTAAACATTCGGGTAATTCTAGTCTGGATGTTGTTTGTGCTAGTGTTGAAGTTTTTACAAATTTGGGACATGAGGCGCGAGGCAAAGTCGCGAAGAGCCCAGTGGTTGTCCAATTCGGGGCGCATACAGAGTTGTTTTGAGACAATGCAAGTCGTTACTGATGGAATTAATTCATGTAACTAACCAAATAGAAAAAAATAATTAACTATTTCTTTTTATCCCCACAACATACTTACATATTTTTCGAGATATAGCGATTGATTATCTAAAAGAGCCTTAACCATCCTCATTAAATAAATAAGTAGTGCTAAATTATTTTGTACAACGTTCACCCTCACCCCTTCTATTATAAAAGTACACATTCTAGGCAACATTTCATGTAAACCTGGATCAGACGCCAAACTCTGCAAGGCTTCCTACAAAACAAAAGTATAAAAACATCATTAACCCTAATGATAACCCATTTACCGCTCTCCGCGCCTCATCAGAGCCCACACAAGCCTCAGTAATTTCCTTGTAATACAATTGTTGTTCAACTGATAGCTCATGCGTCGCTAATTGTTTTATTTGAACAGTTTCCACATTCCGCAATTTCTGTTTCCCAGTTGTGGGCTTCCCTGACGTTTCTTTGTTTGGTTTTTTATTAATTGGGTCAACAGACTCCAACTACAATTTCAAAAATTAAAAGTAACAAAATCCAAAATATGAAAAAACAAACTTTTTGAATGTGTTTAGCCACCGGTGGCGGATTTTCTGGTATCGTGGGTTGCACCCCATCTATGCACAACCAATGAGATCTGAGCGACACTTCAAGTGGCGCTTTTGCGTTCAAATTTTGTAATAAATCATTCAAAACCACCTCCTTCTCCTCAATAAAGTGAAGCTCTCGGCCGCCCCCTGATGCAAAACGGAACGGGAGAGCTTCGGCCGACTGGAAGCCGTATTGGGGCTACAAGACAAAAATGAGGTTAAGTCCAATAAAGAGTTCACTTACCTCTAAATTTTTAGCTTTGAGGGCTGCATCAATGTCACTTTGCATCAATTTTGTTCGTTTAGCATGGTGTACAAATTTTGCAGCATCTTGGATAATGTGTTTGAGTTTAAATGAGATGTCTTCAGCTAACTCCTTTGCGGCATCATCTGGCAAATTCCCAATTCCGATGCTTTCGGCAATTACTTTCATAGATTCTACTGATAAATTAGTTCCGTATAAATCATTTTCAGAGTTTTTAGACATTGTTAAAACTAAAAAAGGGGCTAAAACTGGGCATATGAAGCCAAGTTGTTTATCTTTTGTTTACCAGTGATGCCAACACTGCCAACTCAAGAGGCTCGTTCCACGAAAAGCCTAAAAATCATGTCACGCCGCTTTCTCAGAATGTAGACCATAAATAAAACGAAACTTTATACTTATAATAGTTCATGTTTTTATGTTCTAAAAATTATTACCCCAAACATTTTTTTTAAAATGCAGGTTCCTGTAAATTTTAAAAGATTTCTGTTTCTACATTGTTCAAGAAATTCATCCATAGAATCATTTCACTTGGCACTCTTATTGCCATACAAGCCTTGAATTTAAAAATAGTACAAATGAAACGCAATTATGTGATTATAATAGATTTATTTTCAATAGAACTTATACAATATAAATATAACATTAATAATATTTTTAAATTTTACATAATGTATTAAATCATAGCACATTAATTAATTGAGTGTGAATCACATTCCAGCGTTAGTAACTAAACTAGTCGGATTCAAAGCAAAGCGGAAATGTCCCAAATTTTGATTAGTCGATCCTGTCCAACTGTTACCAATTTTTTGCGAGTCTCGTCCAATCCCATCGCGATAATACTATGCTTAGCATCATGGAATGTGGCTAACGACAGCCTCCTGCAACACACATCAGCAACCACGCAACACTCCTACTACAACTTACTCTCTATCCCTTAACAAATGGTGACAGGGGTCGCAAACGCGGACTGCGAACTCGAACCCCATCGACGGGATTGTCAATCTACCTGTGGAACATTTCTCGCAGACAGCTTTTCCGCAATGTCTGCAGTGGTGCTGACGCAAACCCAACTGTCTTTGGTCCATCATAGCTCTGAAATTCCAGAAGAAGGGTCTTCCGCATAACTGACATAAGTCGGACTCTATCCATTCGGGAGTTTCCTGTCGGGATTGGTTCATGTCCCAGAAGACAAGGACGCCGTCCTCACCGGCGCTGACTAACTGTTTGGTGGAGTTAAGGTAGCACAAGGCGGATACCTACAAAAATGAAACGCTCTTCACGTGGTCGTCGTTCAAAATTTTGTTTGGGTGTAAAAAAAATATATAATTTATGTCTTTAAAATTGGTTTTAAAAGTTTGGAACATGAAATTTAAACGACATTTTTTCACATTAATTTTGTTTAGTAATCAAATACAGGCTGAGTTTTATTTGATTGCAAACATGATGCGTCAATTGCCGAAAACACCCGAACYAATTCGATTATATTTAGTTGGTCAGGTGTCACGCTTTAGTAATACTCTGCAGATAAAAAAACATCCTTGACCTACGAAATCATTAAAGAGTTGCAAACAATAACAAACATCATTCTTCCAGAAAAAAACCTCAATTTGCTAAGCGGTTGTAACAAACAACAAATATTTACTTTGTTGTGATGTCCTTGCAACTCGTAAGCGTTGCCTTGTTGCCCCCCAATGTCCCAAACGATAACAGTTTGGTCATAGGAACCACTAAATAACATCTGTCTCTCGCTATCCCAAGCTAGTGATCTAACTGAGCCTGAATGACCCTTCAAAGTAGTGATAACACTAGGCCCCGCATTATCCAATTTTAACATCGTGATTTGACCAGAATAATCTCCCACAAATGCATGTTTGGTTTGTGCATCAAATCTAYAAAAATTAAGGACAAAATCCTCAGAAAATACTCGTACATAAAAAAAGATTTGTGACCAAAGGATACTGTAAWGAGGTGCACCATGCCTCAGCAGTGTAAGTCCCAATATTCCGCCCTGTTTGTGTACAATTATAAGAGAACACTTTATCCCTGCTGACACTCAAAACCCATTCACAGTTGATGGCAAAAATGATTTCTGTAACCCTTGCCTGATGTGCTAAATACTCTCTCACTGGCATCATCCTGTTGAAGTCTGACGCCAGGGAGAATTCTGAAACGGTCCCGTTTTCTTGTCCTATAAAAAGTTGCCGGGTTTCTACTGTGTAAAATACAGAAGTGGCCCCACTGGGCATGTACTGGCAGATACTGGGCCAGTACTGGCCTGAGTCTCGCTTYAACCAAACCCGTACAGTTCTGAATTACAAATGTTAGTGTTAAAGACACAGTTTGGAAGCGACTTACTTGTCATCTGACACACTTATAACCCCATCTTCCCCCGGGATCAGAACTGCGGCATTTATTTCGTCGCTACAACCTTCCAATTTTGCCAGCAGGGAGGGTTTTTTCGTTGTGCAGAATTTGTCGTTTGCTTGAGTTGCTGGCTTGATTTCCGCTGCCATTATTAATTTGCTTTGATTGTGATTATAACACTGTTTTTAGGTTTGACACTTTTGATTTGACAGTTTTATGACGCGCAGTTGCCGATAAAAAAAAATTTACGAGCAACCCCTAATAAAAAAATATTCCTTCAAAAAGCCGCAAATGACAACACCCCAGACAAGTTAGATACAATCTACAACACAAAAACATCAATGACTTGTATGACTCACTTTACTATTCGCTCTTATAAACAGAAATTTGACAGACTTTTTGACCACTGACAAATTGCTTGCCAGCTTGCCACAAATTGAGGTTATGCGAAATGGAACCGCCTCTCTTCTGGTGTCAAAAAATCTCTCTCAAATAAATAATTAAGAGATTTTGATAATTTCTTCACACAATGGAACCCACAAGAGAACCGACTTTAAGTTTGTTCAGCTCGAGAGAGTTTGATCCTGGAAAATGTAACGTAATTAAGTTGTCACTCTTGAAATAATTAAGTCATTTCAGATGTTAGAGAATTATCTCAAAGTTGTGTTGGGGGGCCCGAATTGCGTCGTCTTAGAAAAAGAATTCAAACACTGTCTGAAGACACTAACAACAATTTGAAGAAAAATGTGTACCGCAATTATACGCAGTTCATTGACACTGCTAAAGAGATATCACGTATTTTGTATTAATTGTGATTTAAAAATGACTCAGACCCCTTTTTGTAGATTTGGAGAGTGAAATGTACCAATTATCACACCTTTTGTCAGAACAAAAATCCCTGTTGGGTGCCTTATCAACAACTTCAATTTTGGGAGAGGAAACTCCACTTATCACGGAAATGGAAAATAAGGACAATCCTAAAGATCAGGGTGACGAAAATAGACAGAAATTAGCTTCAATTTTAGAAAAAGTTGAAGGTTGTAAGGTAAAGTACCGGTTTTGCGACTTTTGTTGTTGCTATTGGTATGACTGATTCAGGAATTGTTAGAAGTCCCTGGGAGGACTTACCTACATGAAGGCGATCTTTTGGAAGTTGATCCTCTCGATAATCACATAATTAAAACAATCCACGCTTATTTATTTACAGACGGTTTTATGACAACTTACAGAAATAATAATAGCAGGGGCTTAATGAAATATGTTTTTGAAGTTATGTACGAATTAGGTAGTTTGGCTGTAGTGAATGTGCGAGAAATTGGAAATAACAAACACCAATTTAAATTGCTGATTTTTCCCGACACTCGTGTATTCCAATGCACTTCCAGCTCAAATAAGGTATTTAGTTTAAATTWATTTTTTTCCACAAGTTTACAAAAAAATCGTAGAAAGAATGGTTGGAKAAACTCGACCAGGCCAAAAAAGCCCGTCTTACACAAGACCAACAAAAGCGCGAATCAATTGTAGAAAAATCTCCATCTCGGTCCGCCTCCATCGATTCTCCTAGCTTCAACCGTAAGTTGGTATCACTGTCACTTTTCCCCTACCCAWTCATTAGCTTTTGAGGAAATTGAGGACGAACTTGGAACGATACACCCTGACTGGTTCTTGGAAATCCCCGAAGAATTAGACGTATGCGTCGCTCAGAGACATTTTGAGGATGCTCTGACCTTCCTTCAAAAATCCAAAGACTATATCACGCAATTCGTCACCACCAGCGGCCAGCCGGATCACGTGATCCTTGACATACAATTAAAAGTCGAACAGCGGCGTAACCACTTAACGGAAGTACTAATGAAAGAACTCGAAGTTAATCCAGATAAGTCCCAGCAAGGGGGCCTACGGGCTGCCCGCCGCGCTGTGAGACTCCTCAACCAGTTGGGGCGTTCGACGGCGGCTTGTAACTTATTCCTGAAGTTGTGCAGTAACATGCTCAAAACACAGTGTAAAAGGGTGAAACGCGAATGTTCCACGATTATGTACGTGAGGCACTTGTCAAGTGTCGTTTTTACGAATATGTGTCACATGACTGAAGAATTCTTGAGGGCTTTTCCCAGCTCATCGAGCTGTTCATCAGGTCATTTGTCATTTTGTTAATGAGAGCGATTAATAATATGGAGTGTGTCAATTATTAATCGCCGATTAACAAACGTGTAGCATTTTATTTCATTAACATTAAAAATTGTAGCATACGTGGTGTGGGCTAGTAACGAACTGTCCCTGTTTACGACTCATTTTATAAAACAAGTTTTCATGCCCCAAACTTCGCTTTCTACTTTAACGGAATGTGTGGTATTGGCCCGATCACAGTGTGAAAGAGTAATTCATTTAATATTTTCTTTAAAAAAATATACTCAATTTGGTGTTTGTAGTTATGTTCTTTTGGCGTTGATTTGTGTTACCAGTTAGATGGCGCTTTGCGCACCCCTCTAATGCAGGCTTTAAAAGACGCTCGTGATAAGTCTATAGAAGTAGCAAAACTTCGTGCTCTTGAAGATAAATGGATCCCTATGAATCTTCGAACAAAGACAGGTCTCGCTCGATTTTTGCAGGAATATTCCGAAATGGGGCTCAAAGTGGACAATTACGTCACTGGAGACACTTGGATCCAACTTACAAACAATACACTGGTTTTTACCAAACTATTTTTAATTCTTCTTAATGACTGTTTACGACTTGAAACAACCGAATTGCTTTATACAATAAACGACGTTCTTTATGACGTTTTTGAGGCCCAAGTGCGGCACATTGAAGCCTCCTTGCGTAATGAAAGTCAATTAGAGGTAACACAAAAACATTTCCACTATTATTTATTAAAAAAAATGTTTTAGCAAAGGAAATTCATTACAAAAAATGCCGAATTTCTCTTAAGTACCGTTCAAGAACTGTGTCAGAAAAAGTACAAAGAAGCGATTGGTTTTGAATGTGCGTCACTACAAAAGCTACAAAAGGAATACTCAGCTTTGACAAAAGGAGTCTCACCTACGAGTAGGAACACAAAAACAAAATATTCATCAGAGTTTTTATAATGTGGTCTTAAATGTTACAATAAATATTGCCTAATAAATAAAATTAACTATTCGGATGGTGTTTCATGGCTGGTTTTAAGGCGTTTTTTGGCCCTGATATCGGCCATTGTTTGTTCAATTGACCTGAGGTCCTTTTTATTTTCACTAGGCACTAAACAGGGCATAAAAATGGACATAAATCACTTGATACTTACCAAAGCCATAGGTCTTATTAGTTTCGGTTTTCTTAGCCGCCTCTAGGGCGGCTTCTTGTCCAATCAAATGCGCGTATTTATCTCTGTAATTAGAGTGTGGTGTGAATTTTTCTGGCTTTCTTTTAGTGGCTGCAACTTCTTCCAATTTATCCATTTTTCTCTAAAACTTTAAAGGTAGGGGAAATCAAATTAAGATTGATGAGTACTTTTTCGATTAATTGTTGCTTGACTTGTTCATTCCACGGGTCACCTCGCCTTCTTGCCGCTAATTCGTCCTCACAAGGGGCGTTGTCTTTGCTGTAGACCCGAACATATCTATCCACCCCATCAGTACCAAATGCATATGACAATAACCCCGCACTTTCAGCTGCCTCGTGTCTAAAAATAAGTGTTTCAAACTCTAACAATTAATTAAATAACATCAGAAATACACAATGCTTCTATAAATTTGGTCCATAGGTTCAAATTTAAGCATAGTGTTGACAGGATCCTTAAAATGTGAAGCCAATTTCGACTCGACTCTCTCTTTAAATCTTTTGAGACGTTCCTTTTCCGCTGTTTGTCTTTTCTCGATTTCTTCTTTTCTTTCTAAAATTTCAGGTGATGAAGGTTATTGAGGTTAAATCACTTACTTTTAATCAATTGACGTTCTTTTTCGCTCAAACTYGGAGGCTTCTCCATTGAATTCATAATGGAACCTAATAGATCCATTTTTGGTTCTTTAATGCGTTGACTTTTTTTTTAAAGTGATAATTTTGTGCTTGACCAAAAATAGAGAACTCACAATAATATAACCAAACTTTTTTCAGGTTTACTGCGCAGGCGAGAATATTGACTGTCGAGAATATACGCTCAGGAGAATTCCTGTAATAACTATTTTTCATAACGATCTTTAGAAAGCAGTATCTTTTCTATTTTAAAAATTATACAGAGTTTGATTAAAAATCAAACTCTGTATAAATAATGATTTCGGATAAAATTAAATAATAGTCAAGTATCACAAAAGCATAATAATACGTAAATATAATTATGTAAATATGTAGTATGATAATAATAATAATTCTCATCAGCGTATATTCTCGAGATTCTATACTCTCGTGTGTGCAATAACTGTTTTCAAAAGCAGGTTCTGTTTTTGATTTAATTTAATAAAATAAAATTAGTACGAAATATTGTACTATGTATATAAATAAGAGAATGAAATAAATAAAAATATCAATTAATTGTAGTAAGACAAAAAATTAATGTGCGTATGGTTGGCAGAATTTTGTAAATTTTTTACGAGCCAAAAATCGCTTGTGCACACAAAATATTGAACAAAAAACCCGTTTGTGGCGTGTAAAAATTGTCTAAAGAAAAAATGTGGGAAAACTTGAAACTCAAACGTTTTAAAAATGTTTTATTCAGTAGTAAGTCACAACATAAAAAGATACACTTATTGTACTAGAAATTAAATAACTTAAAACTAATTTCCACGGCGTGGCACAAAGCTAAGTTCATTCGCCAATCAAAACTCGGCTTGTGGAACTTTCTGATTGGCCTATACCGCCATATCACATTACCATACTTTACATTTCTTTTTCGGRTTCATTTTCGAGCCTACTGGACAATTAAAATCTTTGGCAAAATAATCTAAATTACTGAAAGGGCCAATAACTCGGAAATACCCCGGGGAGTGGTATCCAGTTAAAACTCTCAATTTTAAGGATTCTGGCCGGTATTTCGCACACCATGTGTTTGCGGCTGATATCCAAAACATCTGATTAGGGGTGTATTTTAGTCCAGGGAGGGTTTTCTCTATACCGTGGCGTTGTGTCCATTTATTGTAAGCCAAATAGGCCTCTTTGATACCACCATTATCAGCTATATTTTCTCCTTGAGTGTTAATTCCGTTGAGCTGGAATTGGACACGACGGCGTTATTCAAGGCCTATAAAGCTACCAAACCACTACTAATCCCCTCTTTATGTACACAAAAAATGTTATACAGGACCCCATTATAGGTAAAAAATTTATTAATAAAACAATCACAAGCTACACCTATCTATTTACAACTAATCAGCGCAACGAAATTAAGTACTAGAATCAGAGATTCACTCATAAAATTCAAAAATCAGTCAATAAGTTAAAGCTACCACACTTGACATTTATGCTGCGGATTCATTTTCGAATCTTTGGGACAGTTAAAATCTTTAGCAAAATATTCCATGTTAGTCAAAGGAACTAGAACCCTGTACTTGTCAGGGGCATGTTCGTCGGTTATAACCAACTGTTCTAACTCCTCCTCGCGCGTTTTTGAGCACCAAATACTAGCTGCCGATACCCAAAACAACTGCCGACCGGTATAATTAAGGCCGGGCAATCGTGCTTCTTCACCGTTCCGTTCAACCCACTTATTATAAGCTAAATACGCCTCCTTAATACCGCCATTGTCGGCAATGTTCTCTCCCTGAGTGTTAATGCCATTCAACTGAAATTTTCAAATGCAAAGCGGTGTTAGTTGTTAAGCTCAAAACGTGCAAATTCATGCTATATACACGCCCCGTCTAGTCCATCYTACTTACATTGATATTCAGCTCGGGTACTGTGTAGTTCCCGTATTGGTCGATAATGCACTGAGCCTTMTCCAAGTAGGCTTTCTTGGTCTCAGGAGCCCACCATTCGACCAAATTACCGTTTTTGTCAAACTGGCGGCCCTGATCGTCAAAACCGTGAGTGATTTCGTGACCAATAACRAATCCAATAGCCCCGTAGTTCATGTAACGGGGACGATTAGCGTCAAAGAAAACACCTTGGAGGATTCCAGCCGGGAATTCTAAAATTGTGAATTATTATCGCTTAATTTTTTGCGCTTGTGACACTTACGAATGCTATTTTCCAAAGCTGAGTAGAAGGCATTGACGACAGCAGGCCGGCCATGAGTGATCCAATCGGTCTTATTGACCGGCTGTCTCAATCTTTTAAAGGAAAATCTGGTCCCAAAAAGAGTCAAATTGAGGATAGACCTTAAGTAGTAATTCTCGTCCAATTCCAACTAAATTCTTATATTAGCTACTGTGTTATCAGCAAAGCTTGCAATACTTACGTCACCGTAAAATTCTTCAAGTTTTCTATCGTCGAGAAGCTCGTCAGGGTATGCGATATGAGTCGACATAGACTTGGCCTTGTCCAGAGCATTTTTCTTCGTTTCGGGGTCCATCCAATCAACATTTTTGAGGATATCTTGAAATTCAATCCTGATATCGGACACCATTTCCAACGCGTTTTGTCTCGCTTGCTCGTTGAAGTACTTCCTGACATACAGGGCACCAGCAGCTATCGATAAACTAGAATTACATGATTATTTTCTGCCAGATTCAGGACAAATTTTGGCACCTTCCAGCCGAAATATCAATGCATTCTTTCCACCTAGACTCTCTTTCGGTTCTTCCTGTCACCACAGTCGTGTATTCCAACTGCCGTTTCCTCAAATCCTCCGTGAGGTATGACACAGAGGAGGCGGCAGCTCGCCACATGACGTAATTCGCCTGGACTCTCTTGGGTGTTCTACTGATCAAAGCCTCGAAATCAGTCAAATATTTTGGAACGCTAACCACCACGATTTCATCATGTGTGATTTGTGTGTCTGGAGCTAAAAGTGTATTCATGTACTCCACCCAAGGGATGCTGGGGAATTTGCGCTGAAGTTCGTCGATTGTCATGGGATTGTAAAGTGCAGTAGCATTACGTCTTTTCTCGCTCGGTAGAGAAATCTTCAAAGGATAAATTAGATAAAATTTAGACAAAATTCTTACTCACATTAGCCAATCTCATCTCGAAAAGAAGGGACTCTTTGAGTTCTTCAGCGGCTCGTTCTTTGTCAGCGCCGAAGAGGACAGCAATGTCGACCATGTATTCATAATACGCATTGACGAGCTTGTCGGCGAAGCCTTTGGTGAGGAACTCGCGACGGAGGCCGAGGGAAGCTTGATCCAACTGGAAAAAAAAATTATTTTAGGATATTTYGATTTTTGAATTGAGGAAATTTGAAATATTTCATGTTTCTTCCATTTTTATGACAATGGTTTATTTCTTTAAATTCAAGATTATTTTTTATGTCGATATTCAACCTSAAATAAGTGTGATAATTTTTATGAGAATATACGAGTAAAATAAGAAAACAGTTTTACGATGAAATTAGGTACATAAAGCAAATGTCAAGTGTATAAAATGGGTCAAGGTTACAAGAGACAAAATTAAAAATGAATGAAATGAAAAAGAGCAGGAGCAAAAATAAATTAAGATATTATAAAAAATTCGAACTGATGATGACTTTTTTGTTATAAATTCTTCAAAATTCTATGAAAACTGAATAATTGCAAACAATAAAAAATAAGTTTGGAATGTTGGGTTTTAATTTGGAAAATGAGAATATACTAAGCTAATGTTTAAGGAATTACGATATTTTGATGCAATTGGACTCACATCAATGATCCTCCGAGTTGAATTTTTTAAATCGATTCCGACCGAAAAATCGATGAAATAATCGACACTGTAGCCCATCCTCCTGAATTTATAAACCGATTGTCTCCAGTCGAATTCCCCAGCGCTCCAATCGTCCCCTTCGAGGACCGGCCAGCCCCCCAACTGTCTCAAAATCGTCCTGATAGTCTTCAACCCATCTTTCTCAATAAGCGTCTTGTTCATGCAAGCCTTGTACAACTTTTTGGTGAGTTGGAAAGGCTTAGGCTCGACCGGCTTGATCGGCTCCTCGATCATCGTCCTCAACTGCTCTTGCAGCGTATCACTGATGAGACTAAACGAAGTAACCGACGACTTATCATCCGGAATATTGGTAGTCTTGAGGAAATTCCCGCAGGTGAATTGGTAAAAATCGTCGCAGGGGTCCACGCTATGGTCCATGTATTTGAGCACTGTGGAGGCCGTGTGAATGCAGCCGGGGGTGAGACAGGTGTCGAGCTTGCCCTCCTCGGGGAAGGCGTTCACGACGGCGGGCGTATTTGCGCTGTGTAGAGCCTCGGCGCTGAAAGTCGTGCCTGAAAATGTCAAGTTCCGGTCACTGACCAACTTTCTAAATCAGATGCAAGTCATGAAAAATCGAAAGTGTGCCGATTCGTGGCCCAATTTCGGGAAGAGATACTAACGGGCTTCCTGGTTCTTGTTGTACAACACTGTGACGAGCGCCACCACCAGGGAGATGCCGATGAGGGTGCTGATGGCCGTGAGGAGCGTCAAGCAGCGCTCCATGCTCGTTCGTCGTTTCCACCATGTCGGGTTTCTGTAAATCATTATTATGAGAGAATCCAGGAAACTGGTTATTATTAGCATCATCTAATGCATTGTTAGTGTAATAACATCCATTTTGTCCGATAATGGATTTGTTAATAACAACAACAACCAATATATTATTTCAAGCACACGCGTGACCTACTATTTCGACATTTTGSCAAAAAATCGCACTTTTTGCACGGCTTATTGAGGAACCGAATCGGTTTGACCATCCGATTCTGTGATGTAAGCGTAATTGTTAGGAATTACAAAACATAAATGTTACGTCAACACTTTTTCCATTGATTGGTTTTTGTTTGATAAACAATTAAATAAAATTTTAATTAAACCTAAGAGATGCTCAAAATTATTATCAGAGATAAAAATAACACTTACAGATGAAGGTAAATATTATGGAACAGACAAAAGATCGTCGTGATTAATGAGAAAATAAAATCAAAAGTTCAATGTCGAGTTTTCATTACCACATCAAAGATAATTCATTTTAAAATTTTATTTATTAAACAAATAAACATCTAATTAACATTACTGGATTTTATATTTTTGCTACATGAAGTGTGTCAGACTGGAACAACAAATTTTAACTCTTGCAATAATTGCATGCAATTTGTTACACAAAAATATCATTAAGCGGCCTCAATTTTTGTTGTTTTATCATTAAGTGAACTCGTGTGTGACTTAGAAACGATCTATTTACATTAAAAGTGAAACTGGAGTCATACACATATAACTCAAATAAGGGCTTTATACCTACTTGTAATTTACGTAAAATATCCATCATTTTCTGATAAAATCGTATTTCAGTAAAAATAAATAAAAAAAAAACACCAATAATAATCAATTTTTAGTCAATGTGCATGGGGGCTGTTGCCTCTACTGCCAGAATCGTTTAAAACACTTACTTAGCTTTCTTCGTCTTCTCTTTAATTTGCTCTTCCGAATACGTCAACGGACTATACATGATTTCCCCGTGAAAATCAAACATTTTTTATTTTCATAACTTATTCGCAACCACGACTAAACAGTTCGAGTTCGCCAAATCAGTAAACACCTCGTGATAACTTTTGATAAGCTCACTTTTATAATAAAGTATTGATTAGAGATAAGATCAAAAAATCAAGAGATTCTTTGTAATGAAGAGTGCCGTCAAAATTAATTGATTTTTCCATTAAATTTTCAATTTATAAGTTTATCGGCTTTCTCTTTAACTAATTGTGAGAAAACAACGTAAACAATGCTTTTGCATTGGTGTTTTTGTGTCGATTCACGTACAAGGAGGTTGATTCCCTACCTGATTAAAATTTAAATCAGGTACTGACTTTTATCTAGACGCTCCCAATTCGGCTGGAAATGACCTCAAAGGGAGGACACCAGAAATAAAAATCTTTGACTCTCATGTATTATTTATTCAGTGAAGAAATACAAATAAAAATCAAATGAAGAGGAGAACGAAAGAAAAGAAATACCTAATGAAGAAACTATTTAAACTGCTAGGAGGTAAATTTATAAATTTCATATTGTCATGTGTTGATTTTACGTGTTATAAAAAAAGTAATTTTCATATTTCTTATCTTTAATCATTTGTATATCTCTGAAATTAGACACAAAGTAAGTGACGTAGATACAAATAACCGATAATTTTTTCGTCACAATTCACAAGTTAAATTGCTTTGTCATGATGAAAATTGATACAAAATTGTAAAACATTGCAGAAATTTATTTTATAATTAAGTGCTTTATTTCCGGCTAACATTTAGGCTGGACGAGAACGATTTAAAAATAATATGACAAATATGTGAGGACTCTAAACTATTTTTTTTTATTTTGGAATGGAAAAGCGTTTTACAGAAACTTCTCAAAAAATCTAGCTTAAATGCATACTTCGTAATAACAAGTGAGTGTAATAAAAAAAGTGTTTAAGTGTTCTGAAATAGTATATTAAAGTACAAGTTGCAGAAGGTAGCTTTTCAAGCACAAATTTGAAATTCCGAAACGAGCAGCGTAGCGGCGAGTTGAGGAACAAATGAGTGCTTGAAGAGCCTTCTGCAACAAGTGCTTTATACTATTTTTTTCTATTTTGCGGCTTTATATCATTTTATAAATTAAGAGACGAAATTTTTTTTCTAGAGAATTTTGCGAAGGTTGGCGACATTTATATGGAATAATTTTAGGCAGTTGTAAAAAAATAACAATAATTTTTATTTTCACATTTGAAAAGTGAAGAAAGTCACTAAAATTAAATTAACGCCAACGRCTTATTAAAGCACTCAAATGACGTCAATAGACTTATTCTAAACGCAAAATAGAAAAAAAAAATAAGGAATACCTTGAATAATAACATAATGCTCTTGATCATGTTTTTATTTAGTCTCACGATATTAAAAAAATCTAAACTCATCCATTAATATGGGCTAATGATAAAGGTCAAAGWGGGCATCCAAATTGTGTAACTATTATAGTAAAATGTCATTGTTAGTTTTGAAATACCCTTGACTTGTTAGCTACGTTTGATTTTTTTTACAATTTTATGTTCCTAAACAAATTTAACGATATAACTGCTGTGTAGCATAGCCTATTTTGTTACCATTTTTKTAGCTAAAATTTCTRCACGTTAAATTAACAAAAATGACATTACAAGCTTACAATAACACTTTCCAATTCCCTATTTACATTTTCCTAATTTATTTTTTTTTCATAGATCATAATAAATATCTCTAGATCAAGTTTAAGAATTCAAATGCCATGTGCCTGTCTGATCACTTGTGTAAGATCGTAAATTTGTTTTGGTTTATAAATGTTGCTTTTTTAAAAATATCTTAATCAAAAATATCAATATTTTTGTAATAAAAATTAAATCTAAACCAGTTGAAACTGCCACATATTTTTCCAAAACTTAATAAAGTGATCCAATTTTGTTTGCAAACAAGTCCATAAATATGCAAATTTTGAAGAATTTTAGGAACACCGATAAGTTTGAGGATTTACATTACATTAAAGATTACGTAGGTAGACTKAAAAAAGTCATTATAATAAAACAAATAAAGCTTGCACTTTGTGGTATCTAAACCAAAAAACATAAAAGAAAATTAAATAATAATAAATTTCGAGTTTCATAATCTCCGATTTGTAAAATTGACGTCATTTCGCGTCGTATAATCTGGGAAATAGTGGAATTTCATTTTGTTGTTATTGTTTATAAATAAATGAAGGTAAATAAAACCAGCACGTGCTCGCTCCGAAGAGGATCCTGATGATTCAGATCGAACATCTTAATGAGTCGGTTTTTTCCAAAAAATCATTTTGCATAATGTATTTATAATTAAAAGCTTTGACGATTAGATTCGGCTTTGGATTTCTTCATATCGATTGCCTCAACAGGCAATCAAGTTGAAAGCGGATTTCCAGCATTCTCAAGGAACGGAAACAAAAGTCACATCCGGCGACAAATCGAAAATATTGTGACCCTCCAGCACGGTTCGAAAGCATGCGAAATCGTTCAGCAGTGGGCCTGTAATAGAACACTGCGATTTTTAATCGGCTTCCTGCTAAAAATGGCCCTTATCTGTATCAAACTCTAATTTAAATATTTATCTAGAGGTCTGAAACGGGTCACTTCGTACTAATTTCAGCGGTGTTTATTTATGACGGAGTTGTAGACTTGAATTTTTATCATATTTCGTTCCTTCTTAACGATTTCCATAATACATGCGATCGTACTTTCTGGCGGCATAACGCGGAATTTTAAATTCGAAAGCCGGGCTTTGAGCTGAAAGCTGCTGAATTTTTACGCCCCAGTAACTTTAAAAAAATCAATTTTTTCAATTCTAGGCGATAAGGATTTTTCATATGTCACGTTCAGTCCCAATGTTGCCTCGCGATTAATTCACCTTGAGTCCTCTAATCTGATGATGACCTAAGCGAAAAACAATAGACACAAATTTGTAATTAAATAGATTGCACCGGAAGAGCTTTTTTTACTGTTTTGAATGTTTTAATTGCAAACGAAAAATATAGAGTAGGTAATCCGCATTTTTTATATTTAAGGGAAATTCCTGAACAAAAATTAATGAATTATTTATTATTCAAGTAGTGTCAGGTTAATTAAAATTTGTAATGTGACCGGTGCATCACTAATTGCTTGACAAACCTCCAATGACATACATACATAATGCTTAGAAAAGTTGTTTGTGGTTCATCTTTTAATGCTTAAAAATAAATCTTGATCTTATTTTGATCATCTAATTCAACTGCTCTACAAAAAATGTGAAAAAKAAATGGCAAATAAGTCGTCATCAAATGGCGTAGTAAAGATTTACAAAACAATAAAAACACATTTTTATTCATATTTTATTGGTATTGACGTAAAATTAGACATTTTATTTGTCACGAATGACTACCAACAGATTTCTGAAAAGTTTCATTTTCCTGATAACATCAAAAATTGTACAATTTCCAAAATAACGTTTTCTACTTATCTTAATTAAATGAAGCAAGTAAGCATTTGCTACAATTTAAATTGACAGATGATCAGAAAGATCTTAGAAAATGTAAAAAATGACACTTTTTAAATAGGTAACCGTTTTTTAGTTTATTTAGTTTTTATTGACAAAATCTTAATTTAAACAATTCTCCAAAAATGACACAATCTTAAGTAATATTTTCCATACGTGTAATATTTTCATAAACGTGTAACAATTAAATTAACTATAAAATTCAGATTTTGCTATGTAATAACAAATCTGACAAATCAACCTAAAAAGAAACAAATCAACAACTAATTTGATATGGAATTATCTAATAATCATTAGGTAAAATTAAATTTCTTGTCTCATTTAGATCCAAGTGTCCCTAACTCCCTAAGGGCACATAATTTAAGTTATCAGTAAAAACGTTTCAATAATTAATTATTTGGATGACCGTAACTTTAACAACGCCAAAATTTCTTTTGACAAACCTTCAAAAAAGATTTTTAAATAATGTAATTGGCATAATATAGCTAAGAAGGGTTCCCGTGCTATGAACTTTAATTTATATGCAGGTGCAAAATGAAATTTTTTAGAATTTCATTAAGTATAGTGTATTTAATTTTGTGACGTTATCAAAATTAGAAGCAACCAAATAATAATTCCAACGATATTAAACAATATTAAAACTACTGTGCTTTCCCTGGCAAAATAAATTATTTAATCTGGAAAAACCAAAAGTGTCTTTTTTAATATCTGTTTATGCAAAGATTTAGGAAATTTTGTGTAACAAAGGTATTTCATACCTGGTTCACACATAACATCATTTTAAATGTGGAAAATTAATGAGATTTAATTCAATTTATTTTGTCAAAAATAAAATTTGCCTATGAGTTCTGTGACACTCAATAAGAACGTAAGAAAAATAAATACCACTCCGTGTCTACTTCCTCGACCATACAAGTTTACTTTCATATGAACGCATTTTTAATGAAACGTTCTAATAACACTCAAGCTTTAAAAAGCTTTGTGAAAGCAAAATTTCATGTGAGGAGACTATTACTATTAATTGTAATAATTTCAAAGAAAGGAACTAATTACATTACTACATCAACATAAGTGAGCGTATTTCCTCGCCAATTTTTCTCAAAAGAATCTTGGAGAAACGTGGAGGAACAATAAAGATTGTTGTCAACTCGAGGACAGTTTACGCAAATATAAACAATGAAAAAAATTGTGAAATAGCTAAACGAAGTAGGTACTCTACAGCGCAATGGCCAATGATTCATGCACCCTTATCAAAAGCAAATACAGAAAATTAATATCACAATTTAATAAATGCATCATRGAAAAATCCGCTAATTAAAGATCTAGTGCTAATTATTTTTCGGTGCTAACCGCTTGTCAAACACTGCATCAAGAAATGCGACCAAATGTAATAAAAATGCAGGTCGTTGAGCCGATTCAAAAGTAGTAATTGGGACGGATTTATGTAAATTTATTCAAATTGCTTATTTATCGTGACACTCGTGTAATGAAATAATTCGGATATCGGAAATTGTTCTTTTAATTGTTTCGACATGAAAATCAAATATTATCTTAATGGCTTTGCAAATCAGGAATGGCCTTGAAAATGCAAAGAACCATCGAAAAGATGGGAATCCCGGACTTTGCGTCAATGGGAAGTGCTCTTCCCGATTTTTTCAACTTTTATTGACTTTGTGTTTCAAGCAATTTTCGCTGTTTTTTGTCACAACAAACACGTATGTTGGTCTTGAAATTAGCCCAAACGTGTTAATTCTCTAAACACAACGAATTTATTGTAGGTTTTGTGTACGTTTTTTGACGCAAAAAATTGATAAAGCAAGTTCAAGTGCGCAAAAAATCAAACTCGGTTGCAAAATTCGGCCAATGAACCACGTAGCGAAAAAAGCGCTTTTCTCTCGATCGGATGGTTGCAAAACGGTATTGTTAGGTAATTTACAGAATAAATTAGCATGCGGTTGCCGTTCCAAAATTCGGAAAAAACACCTACTTGATAACGGTCTGTTTGACACTGGAAGTCATTTTGCTGAACTAAATCACTACACTTTGAATTGTTTTTTCGGCACTGATCACTTGGAAAATTCACGTGCTACTAGACAGACATTGTGCGCGTGCCGATTTGGTGCGTGAATGGTTTTATATTATGTGGTGTAAAGCAAAGCAACGCCGGAGAAGCGCTTATATACCACCCGATGATGCCGCTATATAACCTGAGACCAAGACCCCCACCACTGGCACATTTTCACCACTATTTGGATTGTTTGTTCACTTGCAATTGGTGATGTATAGGTGCGCCAAGAACTGAATTTGATTCAAGGAAGGAAAATGCAGGGTCAAACTCCACGAATTATCTGGGAGATAGAGGAGTAAGTTGGGATGAGGTCAGAGTTTTTTTCGGATGGTTGTGACATCCCACACCCTTGAATCTGGGATTTAGATTAGGATCACTAATATATTCCTTGGAATAATGTGGCAAAATAATGATGATTWGTTCTATTGTTTTCAGAAAAGATGATGTTACCCTTTGGGTGTAGGTGGATATTATAATTTATCTCGGTTATTCATAAATATGAGGCAACATTTGAAYCTCAGAAATGACCTATAAAATGCTGTTAATTTAAATAGTAACTCGGATATTTCTACTGATAAGAATTATATTACAACCCYCGGAATTTGGGTTTGATCTATTTTTGTAATAACTTCGGAATCATTTGACCAAATATTATAAAATATGGAACAGTTACTTGCGAAAACATACTTTAATCACAAAAATCGTCGGATACATCTACTCAATTTCTGGCTGCTGCAGTTGCAGGCCATATTTTCTGTGTTTTTCCGTTTTTTTTTTTGGTCTCTTAACACTAACTTTTTATTGCTCAGCTCGCTAGGGTAATCAATTTCCAATAAAAAAAACACTAATATCTTATAAGTACTGTTTCTATAGTGCATTAAACTTAGGTACTTCTTATGTTACGCTCTTCTACAAAATACGTCGTCAATCACAACGTATTTTATAAGTACCTACATAAGAAACATTAGTTTAAAAATTTTGGTCTTAAAWCTACGACCTTGATTTTTAAACTGCCTATAAAAATGTTGTTGTCTTTATAGCTATTATACCACTAAAATAAACCGTTTCAAAGATATTTTAGTTTAAAATGATGATTGCACAACGCTGACATCTCAATTTAAAGATTTTGATAACTTCTTAAATCATATTACATTTCAAACAGAATTTTAAAAAATTAAACTGATCTTTTAGCAAAGTTTTTAAACAAAACTTAATATTAGAAGGGTGAAAAATGAAGAAGGATTAA